GCTCCTTTGACTCTGCTACAGTCTGCAGTAACCACACTACTTATCACTTCAGCATGAAAGAGTATGTTAATCTAAGCTGAATGGGTAGTTATTTGTTCATGGTTTTGAACAATGTATAAGGAATAATTATACGGCTAACACACTTAGGATTACATGATGAGGCGATAATGCTTGCTGACAAATGTTACATTTACTTAGGGACTCATTGAATTGATTAACATTTAAGCAGCTAGTATTGACATGCAGTCATAGAAATAAATAAAACAAAGTACAGTTGACCAGAATAGATCATTTCATTTATATAGGTCAGCATAACAGATTTACCATCACAGCCTTTGCTGGAATGCCAGAGTTCTGAATTCTCTCAGAAGTGAAAGCCATACGTTTCCCATTCTGAACATAGCGTGCTGTGCCAGGCAAAGCTCAAAGTTAAATTCAAACCAAAGTTCCACCTCAGACGAAGTGAGCAGAGAGCTGTCAGCTAGACTCAATGTCAACGACTGCCGCTGTGGGAAGAGAAGAGAGTCACACTGAATTCTCTCTCTCTCTCTCTCTCAGGTGACAGCTCGCCAGATGTGCGTGGGCAGTGTAAAGTCTTTGGCTGACCAGAGCCTATGGCAGTGCACTGTAACAACAGCACACACAATGATACCATACAGACTACAGAACAGGGAGAAAACAAAGTGTAGGGTTCATGTCTGGCACCACAATGTGCTTTTCCTTCTCCCTCATATTGTGGTGTGCACCTTAGATACGACATCACTGTCAAAGTACAGCATGCTGAGAGAATGATGCTTTAGAGATGTCATTTGGTTCCACAGGTACACTCTTAAAAATAAAGTTCCTAAGTGGTTATCGGCTTGGATGTACAGTTCTAAGTAAAACCCTAAACCTTCACCTTCTACCACCTATGTTTTTTAAGAGCACAGATTAAGAGTAGATCTTCTTTCATCTCCTCTGTTTCTATAGGAACAGTACTCAGTACGATTCATTGGGTATGAAGCATATTCTTAAAAAAGATGGTTATTCAAGGATTCATAAGTAAAAAAATGGTCCTATAAAGAACCATTCAAAGCACTCAAAGAACCATTTACATGCTTAAATGGTTCTTTGCATGGTGAAATTGTTCTTCGGATGGATGGACAATGTGTTGTATATGGTTCTATATGGAAGATTTTTTTTAAAAGTTTCTATATCACCAAAAAGGCTATAAGTTTTAAAAAATGCAGAGCTTATAACATTAGAAGAACATTTTTGGTGTTATATAGGTTCTTTGAGTGTTAATGGTTTAAGAACCATAAGAGTGTAGTATTTATATGCATGCATGCGTCAGGTCAGTCCACACTGCTTTGCTTACAGCAGTCTACTCAGTAGAAAGGAGGAGAAAGGACGGATGTTGACGGAGGACATCTGCTTTGTCAGATTCTCTCTCTTCCACCCCAGGAGGAGGGGGAGACTGTAGGGGAAGGGGGAATAAAAAAAGGCTGAGAGAACATAAAAGTAACTGACAGTTTCACCCAAGAATAAACAACAATAAAAACAATCAGTACAAAGAAAGATAAAAAAACAGCAAAAGAGAGACATCAAGAGAAAGAGAGAAAGAGAGAGGAGAGAAAGAGAGAGTGGGTAAAAAAGAAGGAAAGAAAGAAAGAAAGACACAGTGGTCAAGAGGGAAACAAACAGCAAGAGAGAGAGACAGAGAGGAAGTAAAAGAGTGTGAGAGAAACCAACAGTTACAGCTAAGAATAAACAAAGCAATAAACAATCAGTATGCATATCCTCTGCATATCCCAAACATTCCTAACAGCAATAAACAGTTAATGTGGGTGCAGTCAGGACAGGGGTGTGTACCCAGGTCCAATAATTGTGCCAGTGAGCTCACACTGACCAACCTGATTTCTCCTTCTCACAGACTCACTCACTCTCACACACTCACACACACAAACACTGAGCCAATCATGATCTCAACTTCTCCACTGTTTTATAACTTACACTCCCTCATCTGTGTTTTGGTCCCCCTTTCACACTATAATTCACACTGCTATTCTTACACAGCATCAACAAATCCATAATTGCATCCTTGGATGACATCGCATTGTGTAGCCTGTCACACACACACAAACACGCATTGGACACGAGTGGGATTCCATCTGATAAACATTAGGACAGAGCGTTTCTCACTCTTGCTCCATGCACTGATGCAACACAGACCTCAGGACAGCACAGTTTTCAGCGTAGGCAGGACCAGGATCATTTGTCTCCTCTGTACCGCCTCCCCGTTGGCCCAGATTCAGCCACAGCCGGCCATTTCTCCTCCTGTCACTGCTCGGGCTGGGGGGACCGTGTCTGGAGTTTTTCAAAGCAGGTGGCTAAACACATCAAGCCCTGCCGTACATCCGGCTCAGGGCACATACACCTCCACACCTGAGGTCACTACTGTTGTTTTGGTGCAGTGACATTTTTTCAGTTGCATTAACGTCAGAGTGAAGCGATAGGCTATTTAGGATTTCTTCGTTTTTTAACTGTTTAAAGATTAAGCCTAAGTCTAAACTCAATCAGATTTAGAGGGGTGAACCACCAATTTAGGTGCAACAGAGTTCTCTGAAGTAGATGAATGGTTGATCGATTTATACCGAAATTGTAATATGAAGGAGAGTAATTTTCAATTACAAGAGCTGCAATTTAAATTATTGCCTATATTATCAACACCGTTAGCCCAAATTTTAAGTTGAGAAATGTAACCTAATAACTGCTCAAAGTGGAGTCAGACCCATCAAAAGCAACCAACAACCCATCTGCTGTTCACATAAAACACAAACAACAACAACTAACTGACAGTCTGGCACAAATTTAGTGCTCAAGCCTCAAGCCATAAACAGTATTGTGATCTTCATGACCACAAATCAGGCCTGGACCTTAATGTATAGAAAATAATAGCCAATTAAACCACAGTCACAATATTGGCCAGAAAAAATTTGAAGTGGTGCAGTGCCATAGAGGAAACACTTTTGGTTCCAAAGAATCAAATGGATGGTTCTTTAAATTATCAGATAAGCAAGCTTGAAAACATCTGGAAAGTTTGAAGAACCTCCACTTCAGGTTCTCTGACAAAATAGTAGTCACATGCATCATTTATTGTTTAATATTTGGTTACGCATCCCCTTGTTTTAATAACAGCTCCAATCCTGTCAGATCTTGTCATGATTATGCAGACACTTCCTCTCATTTTTAGCTCACTTGTCCATTAACTGGGTCCACATTTCATCTAGAGTTTAGGCATACCTATTTCAGCATTTCACATATTCTTACAAATTGAGAAATGGGATTGAGGTCTGGTGAATTTGCCGGTTAGTCAAAGTCTCCTATTGTTCCATCACGTCTGTTGAATCAATCACGTTCATATTTGGACCTATGCACCCTATGGTTGTCATTCTGGAATATAGGAGCGTCAATGTTGTCTTCTGCTCAAACATGCAACAGGTTCTGTACCAATTCATGGTTTTTCCTAGAACTGTAGATTAAGATTAAGAGTGTAAGTCTGGACTTAAATGGATTTTTGGTGTGGATCACAACTGACATTGTGATTTAATTCAAGGCCAGACGTAATACGTGTATGATACACTAGTAAGAGTTGTACTGCATCCTGCTGCACCTAAAACAATTACCGCCGACATACTATGTGGCAATAAATCTCCAACCAACAGCAGATTAGTAGTGTTTGGATGAAGGAACATAGGGTAAAAAGGTCTGCTTTGTGATGGAAACAATTAGTTACTTCATGTTCTCGCTGAGAGCTCATACATCACTGTGACTGTGGGTAGGACCTGGACGACTCAATTAGTCAAATGAGTTTCTCATGGAAATCTAGGCTCATTAATGAAATGTGACCTAGTATGTTCACCTCATTAGGCAGTGCTACCCAGTGCATGGTCACACACTGCTATGCCATAGTTACAGCTGTAATGCTGCACCCATATTAAACGCTCGTTCAGCATCAAAGGAATGTATAATGCTGTTTGAAACCACCTTCTGCCACAGGGCTGTGTGTCTTCATTAGCATCCACAGGTTCCCACAGGATATTCCTCAAAGTTGAATCAAGCTGCTTCCACCTAAGCCTCAAGACTTTCAAACAGCAGCTTGCCCTGTTCACTTATCCACCAGCATGGCACAGATTGAACCATCTACCTATGGCTCTGTTACAAAGTAGAATACATTTCCAGAACATATTCAATAATTTTCCCTCAAAAAATAACTCAACTGGAGCAAACTTAGAAAAAACAAATGCACAGAATCAATCCTGACTAATTAAGTACTAATTATCATTCATTTCATACACTGTGCACAATGAAAACAAGGACAGTTTTCATGGGTTGACATAAGTAGGTCACACTGCCAGCAAAACCCTGGAGAATGTTTCACAGTGTGAAGGCAATAATACTTACTATAGCAGCTTGCATCTCAGCGTTAATCTCCTACATTAGAGGCAAATAAATGCCTCCATTAAATTTAAGAATTCTAATTATACTTTTTACCTATTAACAGTATGCCATTAAAAATAAATAATGTACACAGTGTAAATAAGAAATTCTCTTAATGTTTCCCAGTGGGCCTGTAGTGCTATGTCATCAGGGCTAGGCTTTTTTGAGTGAAGCACATGAAACTGATACTTCCTTGTTATCTACAAATGAGCCCATGAAGAAGTGACCTCAGCTGACCCTACAGAGTAGACAGGAACACCCTGTCCTATGACATTTGAGCAGAGGGACAATAACCTACAAACAGACCTGCCCCCCACATTGCACTCCGAATTATTTATGCCTTTAACATTTACCAAGCACATGCCATCCCAAACACACACACTCACAAAGAGCCCTTTTCATGTTCCAATGGGGGCAACTCCTTTCAAAAAGCGAGGGATGCATTTCATTATTTGGTCTTCCGTGGTATCAGCTGTTTATTGTTCTATCTCTGTCATAAGCCAGGAATATGTTTGCTGGGAGAAAATCTATTTGTTTTACTGATGAACAAATAAGAGCAGATAAATAAGAGGCCAAGACAAAAATGGTGTTGATTATTTACACAGAGCAACAAGCTGAAAATAGCCATGGAAAAAAAAAACACAACAAAAAGGTCTCATGGATTTTCAGTTCAAACTAAACATGACCTCATGGTTCTTTGCATCAATTGTGGTCAGTTCCTCAACTTTTTCAGTGGGCGCGTGGAGGGTCGTAGGTCATCTGTTCCGTGAGCAAAGAGGCAGTCTTCAGTGGACAGTGGGCATCCATGGGGGTGGTGGGTGTGGAACCAACACAGTCTGGTTTTCAGCGCTCCTGAGGTTTGGGATTTAGGCTTCGAGTTTACCCGCACTGGGCCATCACTGCGCCAGTCCCGAATGTGTACTCTTCCACCCTCCACTGTTTGAGAAGAGGGAGGAAAACACAGAGTGCTCTCAGTGAGAACCAGTGGTCCACGATCGGAAATGGCCAGGATCAGAATTGGCCAGCATTACTATTATAACAGATTGATTATTATTATTTATTACAGTATCACTTCTAACAGACTTGTCAACTGAATCATTTACTTTTAGTTGTGAAGAACCACATGGGCCTGTCTAATTAGTTAGTTAGTTGGTTAGTGAATTAGTTAGTGAATGAGAGAGCGAGCCAGCTGAGTTAGTCAGTCAGTGAGCCAGTTGAGCTATTTTGACAATGAGTGAGCGAGTCAGTTGAGTTAGTCAGTCAGTGAGTGAGCCAGCTGAGCTAGTTTGACAATATGTGAGTGAGCGAGTCGGCTAAGTTGGTCAGTGAGTTAGTGAGCCAGTTGAGATAGTCGGTGTTTGAGTGAGTGAGCCAGTTGAGATAGTCATTCAGGGAAAGAGTGAGTGAGCCAGTAGAGTGTCAATCAGTGAATGAGTGAGTGAGCAAGTTGGATTAGTCAGTCAGTCAGTCAGAGAGCCAGTTGATTTAGTTTGACAGTGAGTGAGTGAGCAAGGAAGTAAGTGAGAGGGTGAGCCAGTTGAATTGATTAGACAGTAACTGAGTGAGTCAGTCAGTGAGTGAACCAGTTGAGTTAGTTAAAGAGTGATTGAACGAACAAAATTATATTCTCTTTGGTGCCCGTTTTCTTTTTTAAGACTGTCAGCTAATTTGTCTGTAAATAAATCAGAATCAGCTATTAACATAACAGCCAAATAATCTGTACATCCCTTAAGTTCTTAACTCAAAACCTCAATAATACCAAAAACCTGGTACAATAACAATTTGAATAGAATTAAGTTCTAGTCAAGCTTGCTTTAGTGGCAAGAATATTTCTCTATAAGAGAATAAATATAACCTTTTTTGGGCATTTGATTCCTCAATAAATCATTTATCTGACATTTTCATTATGCTACAGCTGAACAGATGAATTCCATTTTTATCATCTTGCAGATGTGCCTACACTTCACAGTAATACAGATTTATATTAGTCTTCTCAAATGTCATATTTCACAGCACATGTTTGCTGGCATGGCTTCTGTGGTGAAGAAACACAGTTCTAGTTGTTAAAGTCTCTTTGTGATAATTATCTGCCATGAATGATCCATATGTTTTTGATAATGACTTTAATGATTTTATGACCTAACATGTAAACCTGCACTCTACTAAAACTCTGCACTGCACTAAAAAAAAAGAAAATTTTCCAATGTTGCCTACTATAAAAAGGCCAAGTGCCAAGTTTATCTCTGCCAAAATGCCTAACTTTCATGCAGTTTTAAAGATAGAACAAAAGGAACGGCTGTCAAGCATCAATCATGTCTGGATAACAAAAGGATATATGGGAATGGTGCCACATACCTCTGAACACCTGATGGCTGTTTTTCAGCAGAGTCTGCAGACCTCCGCACTCTTTCTTCAGCGTCTGCAGGGTGGACTGGTCCAGGAGCTCAGCTACCTCACGGATATAGAGAGAGCCTTAAGAGAGAAAGAGAGAAAGAGAGAGAGTTAGCGAAGAGGGACAGTGAGAAAGTGAGTCATTCTTAGTAAAATAAAATGCCTCAGCTTTGCACTGACAAGGTGCAGAAAAAGCATCAGGATAACAAAAGAAAATGAGAAACAAGTGTACTTTTAACACCTTTTATCCATTTCATTAGATTTTCTTTTTTTTCCTATTATGTCACTACAAGCCATAGTGCAGCACGCTTCACCTCCAATTACAAACTCTGCCTGGCACACAACACAAACGCATTCCGCTGAGCCTCAAGAGGAAAATGAGCTCTGTCTACCAACAGCCTCTACGTCAGTCAAGGCCTGCTAAAGGGACTTTATTCAAATCCACTCGGAGGCTGTTTACCAGAATGCATTAACCTGCCAGATTTCCCAGCGGCCACTTTTGCAGCAGCCAGTCTTCGCTACCCAAACCCCCCAACCACCTGATAGACCCTCAATGCCACGCCGTCTCAGCCGAAGGGAACAAACCCAAATGAGTGCAGCCGTTTCGAGCACCCAAAGTAATGCATGCAGACTGCCAACGAGCCCTCATCATGCCCCGAAATGAGAAGTTGGAGAAATTACTTAGTGGCTCAGCTATGCGCTTTTTAGACATGGCTTGCAATACAAGTTTAGGCATGGAGAGTGGCTGATGAATGTTATTGTGGGAAGATTTCCTGCAAAAAAGCACTGAAAGAATAAGTATTGTGCAACAAGTGGACTACAGCAAGACCAGAGTATTTGCATGATGCAGCTTCAAGCCGTAGGTGGATTTACCACTTAACAGTCAAGTGTTTACATTTTGAAAAAGTCCTCCTCGCAAAAAGAAACCTCTCAAGTGTCGCCCACTGCCATTCTTTTCGACAAGTAATCAGCCCTAATATCCAAACTTAGAAGCAGCAGCACAGATTTCCTAGTGGCTCTGCTACGCATGAGAAACAAGGCGGGTTTCAAATCTTTGGGCTGATGACTTGTTGCCATAGTAACCAGGAGTTGACTCATGGGCTGTGGGACCTGTTGTGCTGCAGAAAGCCCTTACGTCCTAACAGCAGTTGGCCTGCCCAATTGCCAATGGCCTGAACTGCAAGTTCATACATTATGACTCACTGAATATATGAAGGAAGTACTGGATCTCCTCATTGTGCATGCTCTCCTCACGCTTAAGCAATAGGAACAAGTCTTCTTAAACTAGGCCTTGGAGGCCAATAGACCTATTGGGCTTACATCATTTCTGATGTTTGAAAAGAAAACAAATTGAAGAATATTTTTTGTCTCTTAAATATGTGACTTAAGCTCTGAAGCATGACTTCTTCAGATTTTGGGGTTCAGACCAATTAAATCTGTGCTCTCAGTAGATCTGTTTGCATTAATTTCTTAATTCTGACACACTGTATCTACCGCTGTGTGACGAATTAATCAACAAAGGCAGATTTAACTATCAGCCTAAATTAGAATAATAGCTAAATTAGTTTTGCTTTTACCATCATTGTCAACCTACACTCTACAAAATTATTCATCTGTTCAACCTAAAAAACAATTACTTAATGTGCTAAAAAGTACATTAACTCATTTTAACCTAAAATACAGTGTATGTGCATCTCTAGGCTAGCAGTTTGAGACCCCAGATTTACAGTGTTAGCACAGATTATTTATTTGCGATAGCGGAAAACATGTTACGTTACATTTTCATTGCACTTTTAGACCATAATATGTTATTGTTTTACAAACTTTATTTTCTAAGCTGGAGTAAAATAACACCCACATTCATTAATACTGCTGTCTATTCATCACTGACCTTTCATTTTTTGTTTTGTCTCAAGATTGTTGACAGCTCCATTTTTTTCACTGCTCCTGTTAACCAGCTCAAGAGCCAACAGTTATTGGGCAGGGCTATGCACAGTTTGTACACAGCTCCAGTCTTAGTAAAGCAAATGTTAAATTCAAGCACTTTGTTGGCCTGATGTGGTTGAACCAACGCAAAATTTGCTCTGCAGCTGTGCATGTACATTCATTTAGGCCTCAGTGTGCAGCACTAAATAACTAGCTGCCCTTGTTAACCGTGAAATATTATCTTAGTGCAGAAGTATAGTGGTAATAGTAACAGTAATACTTCTTATCCATTAATTATTTATTTATTTAATTAATTTAATTTTGGTATGTGGGGTATGTATTGTCTTAACAGTGGAAAATATAAATGTTATATTAATTTGGGTTTATTTTTCCAATCCCTAGGTGGTAACCCCCTGCATTGTGGAACTCACTCCCCATTCACAGTTCATTTAGGATGCCTCTTCTCTGTTAATATTCAAATATTACTGAAGACTAATTTGTTTTTCCTATGTTTTCACTCTCCCTCCTGCTTGTCTATGGTGTCTATTCTGTTCATGTGGTGTTGTCTCATATGTTGTTGAATATGTTACTGTATATGCTTATTGACTATCTAGTCTTGAACAACTTCCTGTTCGATGTGTTATATGGTCGGAAAGTGCCATTGCTCATGAGAAAGGCCCATAAATAAAACTGATGATGATGAAAATGATGTTGATGTGATGCTAAGTGCCCATTGTAACATTTCAGCACACTGTATACTCCCATAACATCAAAGCTAACTGGAGGAAAAGGAAAGGTACTAAGTCTGTCTGGATTGGTGTATACATTGCATAATTTAAGTGGCCAGACAATGGCCTAGAATCCATGACGCCAGACACCAGCTTATCTGCAGTCCTAATACAATATCAATAGCCCATTTAGGGCTGCCCTTTAGAGCAGAAGCTACAAATGGGGATTTATGGCTGAGAGGAGCAAAAAGCTGAAAGGTGTCTCACTGTTTGTGTTTGTGATCACATGCCTGCCTGATGCCCTGATCCTTCTACCATGGCTTCAGGTTACACTAACTGTGGTATAAACTGCATCCTTCTAGCTTTTGATTTAATTCATTGCTAAACTTTACTATCATGACCTTAATGAGTGGGGAGAAATAATTTATAAAAAATAATAGAAATATAAAATAATATTATTTTTTTTTATCACTATTCGGTAGTGCTGGGTAATATATTGTCTATACTAACATAACATGACAGACACAGTGATATTGGCTTTCAGTTTCAGTATTATTTTTAATAATATATTTGACAGATAATGAACAATATATAGATGACATAAGGTCCTCAGACAGTAGTGTCTGTGTTGCTAGGAGATTTGTTTTTAGTTTTTAATTCTATTTCATGCATTTTACTCATGGTATCCAGAACTTTACAGCTAACTACTACATATCATATATTGAGTGCTTCATATTGTTCCTCATATTGAACTGCTCAAAATCCATAAAAATCAATTCAAAACTTTATCTGTAAATCTGTAATTCTGTGTCTGCTTAATATTTACAATACTGTAAGGTTCCCATTGGCATTACATTAAGAGAAACAAACAAAACAGCCCAATCAATTTGTAAAACACTGGCTATGTAAAAAACACATAATAACATGCTTAACAACATGTCAAAACAGTACTCCACAATTAGTAGTGCATTCATTTGTATAGTATGTATACCAGGGACAGCACAATACCCCTTTTTCTTTTCCAGAACCGGTACTGAACCCTTAAGTACTGGTCTGATTTTTTTTTCTTTGAAAACTACTAAGCTTTAAAATTAGCTAATTATCATTTTTAACATCATTTATCATCATCTTTTTCACCTGAGCAAGAAAAAAACAGCTAATAACATGGTATCACACAATGTGTGCTATTTTATGCTACAATTGTCACAAGATTACACAGTACTTTTTGCTGATAACAGTCCAATACTCAGTATTGGATGAGGGATGTGCATTCTGACTAATTTTGTTAATTGAGTATCCAAAGTATTTCATTGAATTGTATTTTCTCTGCCTTCCTGTGCTGAAACAGAACAAGTATCCAAATATTGACTTCAGTATTTGAACAGTGGCATCTCCAATGGATAACCAAATACTAGAGTACCTACGAACATCCTATATTGGATCAATGACTCAAATGTTTAGTATAATAGTATGTGGTTTTGGGCACAGTCAAAAACCTCTGAAGTCGCTTTGTCATTCAGTAGTTGCTGTCATGCCCATATTAGGAACTCTAAGCTGGCCTTCTCAAAGAGAAAATGAATGCCGGACTATTACTATTGTGCCCTGTAGTCAACAAAAATGTTCCAAATTCAATACGTTTTCCCATACAGGCATTTTTCCAAACAACACTGGATCTTCTGAATCATAAGGTTGTTAAGGAGCTAAAATACAAATATTGTTACATTCAAGCTAACACTGCTGCACACTGAATGGACATTATAACACTGGCAACCGCACCAAAATAGCCCAAGCAAACCAGCAAGCACTGTCAAGGGTGGTGGTTAAGTTACTTTGGCAGTAGCAGACTACAGTTTGAGTAGCTGGTGTTGTTCAAGTTTGATAGTAGACATTTTATGCAATGTCATTGCAATGCACAGGAGTGCTAGCTCGCTTGCAGTGGGATGTAGCTTTATTTGTATTTTGACTGATAAAATGACCTTGTAATTCAAAGGATCCAGTGGCACTCAGGAACATTCACTTTTCTCATGGAGAAAATCTGCTTAGACCAGAAGTTCCTAATATGGGCCAGATGCCAACTACAGAATGATGAATGACTTCAGAGATCTATTGTTTTAGCATAGAGTAGCAGTACTGAGGAAAAATGTGTTCATTTCTTTTTTTACCGCTAATTTAAATATCATCTGATACCATTATATGTGACATGTTTGGAATTTTATCAATGCTGTCCAGCACTAATAATCAGTAATAAAAACTTCTAGCTCTATATGTGTTACCCTTAAGAACTAACGCCTTTCTTTACCTGAAGTATAAGATTGCACAAATGTAGTGCACTCATTAGTCCTCATAGTATATAAATTGATAAATCCCTTCCTTATACACTCTAACACACTATATTTATTTTAGAGGATTACTCAGTTTTGAACTGTCCTAAGTTCACCTGTTCCAGCTTGCTTAAGAGCATGCCATTTAGAATAACTTCTTGAAATACCTCTACATAAATACACACCATGCATAAAACATGATGAGGGTGCATAATTCATGTACACAACTACATCCAGGAACTCTACAGAGGACATCTCTATTTTGATCTCTCCCCCACACAGACAAGCTCAGGCATTCACACAGACACACACTCACTCAATTGCACTGCACACCTATGCATGCATGGTCTCCAACACTTGTAAAACGGAAAAAGAACAAATTTGTGCAAGAAAAGCAATAATGAACGGAAAAATGCACACATGGCTGATGAATGAGGCCCACTGAGTTTAACTGCTTTGTGCAAGCTATAATTAAATAGGAGAGAGGGATGCATGTGTTTGTGTGCTCTGTGTAAGAAAGGATGTCAATGACTTAGGATTTTAAAAACATCCCAAAGTTCAAAGCATAGTTGGCAGGTGTCAGTCTTCTTGTTCATTCTCCAGCCACTTTATATACCTTATAATTTACCAACAGTCATGGTTACTGTGCCTTTAAAACTGATATATTTAAATGACCTTTGTTCTGATTGACTGCCCTGTATTGTAGTTCCCTCAAAATGTCAGTCCAAGGTGTGACATTCCTTATACTTTCAACACAAATGAGGGGACCTTAATTGCTGTAGACTGACTTGATGGATATATGTAAGAGATTCTGATTTTACTGACCTCACAAAAACAAGGAATTAAAAATGGGCTGTTTTTATCTTAATTTCCATAGATGGACTGTATGGATGGGACTGAATGGTAAGTGGTAAAACAATACACCAAAATCTCATTAAAAAAACAGTCAGGAAAACTGACAATTTTCTATGACAGAGGTTCCCAACCTTGTGGTCCACACAACCGACCACAAAAGCTTCTGCCGGGCACATGATTTTACTGACCAGGTCATTTAAAGTGCAAACAAACATAATACAACAATCAATGTAGTCTGTCAATGTTGCTTGGTTTTATAATACAGTGCTTCTTGAAAGTTTGTGAATCCTTTAGTATTATGCGAACTTGAGCAGCAATGACTTCAACCAAATGGCTCCTGTAACTGTTGATCAGCCCTGTACATTGACTTGGCCCATTCTTTCTTACAGAACTGCTTCAACTCTGTTATGCTGCTGTGCTTTCATGGTTAATAAATGCCATGGCTGATGTCCTGACTCAACATTTCTATTGGATTAAGGTCTGTTCTTTGACTAAGCCATTCCAAAATGCAACATTTCTTCCGCTTCAACCATTTTTTGTAGACCAACTGGTTTCTGCAGGACCCACTTTCTGTTTAGGTTCACTACACAGATGGATGCCCTAACATTCTCCTGTAGAATGTCTTGATACAACCCAGAATTCATAGCTCCATCAAATGACTGTCTTGGTCCAAAAACAGCAATACAATCCCAAACCATGATACTGCCACTATTGTTCACAATTGGGATAAGGTTTTTATGCTGGAATGCAGTGTTTTGCCAAATATAACATTTCTCACTTAAGCCATAAGAATATATTTTTGCCTTATTTGTCAACAGAACATTATTACAGCAGTCTTCTGGCTCATCCAGGTGATCTTTAGAAAACTTTAAACAGGACAGGCAGCAATGTTCTTCCTGGAGAACCATACATACTATTCTTGTTCAGTGTTTTTCTGATTGTGGACTCATGAACACTGATATTAGCCAGTGTAAGAGGGGTCTGCAGATCCTCAGATGTTACCCTGGGGATCTTCATGATCTCCCAGAGTATTACACACTTTAGTCCTGGAGACATTTTAGTTAAATGACCACTCCAGTGTAGGGCAACAATAGTAGTGAATGTTCTCCATTTGTACTGATCCTCAGTGGATCAGTGAAGTCCACACTCTTAAGAAATTGTTTAGAAACCTCTTCCATCCTAATGGGTAAATATTTTTTTCTGAGGACCTCAGATGTGATCATATTTTAGGTCAACTTCACCCAGAAATGCACATATTGCAAAAAAATTCACAAACTGTCAAGCAGCACTGTGTGCAAAATAAACACTACAAAAATCTAACTGACCTAGTGAGTTAGCTGATGTTGTTTGGCAGCAACTAAGTGCTGGATGACAAGCTGAAAAAATGCAAGTTGCGAAAGGAGGCCTGTCTCAGTTCAATAGATTTAGATGCATATTTGTTTAGTCTCCAATTCACGGCATTATTTAATTAGAACTCTGAGCGTACAGCACAGAGTACAGCACAGAGTGGCAGGTACTCATTTTCTGTTCTCAGACATGTGAAGCAAGGCCTTTTCACACTGGAAAGGATTATCTGTGCACTGTTTACAGTTACAGTAAATTAATTCAATCATGTGTACAATTGATAATATTCTGTACACCAATTTTTCAAATGATGAAAATGCTTTGAAATTATTTGCATTCTGTTTGATATTTTTGTGAACTTTCATTGGTAACAGAATTTGTTTGTTCTCTACTTCATCACGGAAAGTGTTCGCGAATCCAAAAGCAGCTAAAACAGGCACAAACTGAGTTACAGACATCCAAGCTGTGTGTGAAAGCTCTCAAAGTTCCAGCTGCTGGATGAAGTGGTGAAACTCTCTGTGCTCTTTTTACTTTTCCAAAATGGAAAGAAGCCCACTCGATGTCATCATTTGCTAGTTTTGTGAGGAGCAAAGTACATCTTCTTTTTAAAATATTCCATTTGTAACCATTTATCCTTGATGGATAAATTCCATACAAACGAAAAAGAAAAATGTAAACAAAGCTAAGACTAATAAATGAGGTTGGTCTAAATGTGACGTTCTATTTTTGCAAATAATTATACACCTTTAAATTAATATTTGGTTAAATCTCCAAATCTCCACATATTGTAAAAGCAAAAATTAAAAAACGTTAAGTTTAAAAAAGTAAAACACAAAAACACTTTTTAATACACTGTTTAATACCGAACTGTCAACAGGCATGGCTGATGGTCATCTTTAAATGACGCTGAAACTGGCTTCCTATTTGCGAGATTCTGAATCGAATGTTCCGTTCCACCTTAAATGGACAGGAGCCAAAATGTGGCTGCAAAACCATTTAAAGTGGAATTGAATAAATTGGTGAATAGGGAGCCAGTTTCAGCTTCCACATGTTTAACATGATCCTGGACAACTTTAATTCAAAGCTATTAGTTCGCTCTGCAGATTTCACTCAGGACAGCTTCTCAAATCTTGGACAATATTGAGCAGGCTTCACTCAGTGTTTAACACTGAAGAGAGGGAAGAGACTTTATTGGCATCACAACCAAAACAGCAACCTGTAAGTAAGTCGTTACTCCATGCTGCATGATTGTAACCACTTTTAAACAGCTGAAGATGATCATCGTAAATTGCTAACAACTTTAATTTACTTTGTGCTGTTGTCCAGATCGAAAGCAGGTACCTAGTATAGGTAACGTTAGCTAGCAGCAAGCTCCAAGTAACTAACTAAATAATAGCTAACTAAATAGCTAACTAAATAATATGACAACCTAGCTTATTTGCATGGAGGTTCATTTTATTTTCCTGCCTGTGTCTATTTTAACATGTTGCTTCTGTGAGAGCTATTGTGGTGCCTCGCTGTGAACCAGCAAATCGAAGTAGAGCTCATCAAATTATTCATGAGTCCACCAAAAATGAAAACAGCCTGTTTCATTCCAGGGCCAAATCACAGGGTTGTAAATGGCCGAGTAAAACCGCATCAGGGTATTTTTCACTCCAAAGTCACATACTTTCTATGTAGACATCAGAGAACTGAATACTAATAATAATAAAATACTGAATAAATGAATTCTATGGCACATTTACTTCACTCCCTCAAATAAGCAATCTGTGGAATGGATATTCAAAAAAGTTCTGCCTCTCCAGTCCTCCAATCAATCCTCTTTGCTTGCTCCTTAACTTCTGTAAACATCACCCTAAAATCACCAAACACAGCCTATGACTCACAACTCTCAGCAAAAACAATGTCACGCTCTTCTCACCTCCAGCATGCCAGTTATTTGTATCCTTCAGTGAGGAGTTGTTCTCCTCCTCTCCCGCCTCTGCAGTGAGCTCCAGCAAGGCCCTGGCCACCTTCAGGACCACACCATCTACCAAATCTCTAGGGAGAGCTGCACAGTTTCTCACTGTCTCCGTCTTCTCTCTGGGTTGGAAGCCGCTTCCCCACTCACTTCCTGGTTCAGGGATCTCCTGTCCATCTCCATGGTGATTATGTCCGCTGTGGTCTTTCTGAGTGACATTAGTTGAGCTTGTGTACGAGACCTGCCGTCCCCTGATGTAGTCTGTTCTCCTCGCTTCTGCTAGCTCTCCTTCAGGCTCCTCATAACTCCTACTCCTCCCAATTAGGCATACCTGCAAAAAAAAGACATGATGCAACGTCCTGAGATTTTGGACTCTGCTTCAGAGAAGCACTGCTTGTCTTCACTTTCCACAGCAATTTAAACATGTTAAGCACCATCAGGGGAGTCTAAGTTGGTCTGACAGCCTGTCTGGTAGTGTTTGGATGGCATATAACTACATTTTTCTATAGAAGTTCAGAGCTAAAATGAAGATTCACTCAGGTTCTCCAGAACTATACCACAGATCCTTAAAAGGTCCATATAATGGAAAAATGAATTTTCCACACGTTTTTGAAATCATACAGTTTGATGTAGCATCTAAACACTGTAGAGTTTCAAAACGTATAATTCACTATACCCCCCAAAATATGGAAACTAACCTGCAGGATGTCAAGAAAACAATCACATTTATAAATGTCCACCTATTCAGCCTATAGCAGTTTAGTTCCACCCACTCACACTGAAGGTACAGAGCAGGGGTGCTAGATCCTGGTCCTGGAGATCTACCACTCTGGACAGTTCAGATCCAACACACCTGGTTCAAACAGTCAGAGCACCTGAAGTCCTTGATAACCTGGATCAAGTGTGTTACATTAGGGTTGGAGCTAAACTCTGTAGGGTGGTAGATCTCCAGGACCAGGATTGGACGCTCCTGTTATGTTTCAGTCCAGACTGCTTTCTCAATGAGGCACAACACGGGGCAAAAAATCTGATCAGCGCTAATGTACATCAGTCTGAAAGGTAGCGTAACATATAGTTGTGTGCAAAAGTTTAGGTATGCCTGTCAAATAACATGTTTTGCTGATGAAAGTGAAAATAAGTTGACATCCTCTACAGGGAACAAACATCTGCACATTTTAGTGCACAATTACTATTTATTTGCTGAATTGAACATTTTGGTGAAAAAAAAAACATACAGTGTGACCTGTGCAAAAGTTATGACTTTCTCAATATGTTAAACTCAAAAAATCAAATAAATAAAAAATGTGCACTAGAAAAATGCAATACTTAAAAAAAGAAAAAACGAAAAGAAAAATGCAACATTTAAGTTTATTCCCTGTAGAGAACGTGATAACATATTTTCATTTGATATCAACTAAGAATTTTTGCTTATGACTGCAAAGGGCTTCTTTAATTCTGAGGGATGGGAGAAGAGAAGTTGGAAAATAATCATGTAAAATAATAACATGTTTGACTGTTCTTGGTACAGAAAACCACATAGGGAGTTTCCATAAAGTAGACATTCTGAGTATTTTCATTTCTCACAAGTGAATTTGTACATCTATATTTTACTTCCAAATCAATACTGTGATCAACCGTAGGCAAGCTTTATGTTACATTAATGACATTTCAGAGAAGTGTTAAAGTAGTCAAGTAACACTGTTACCATCACACAGCTAGGCAAACCTCTCAGAGTCTGCAAGATGACATCTAACAACAGATGATTTGCCAATTAAATGATATTTGGCTCTTTCCACTGATATGATCAAAGCCTCACAGTGGGTGATGATTAGAACATTAAAGATAACTAATTAATTTCCATCTGGTGACAAAAGTAATGACAGAAGATTGTCTAGCTTACCCGTTTAGTGGAGGGGATTCTCAGACAGTCTTCATCTGTTTGGAAGCCACACACTGCACTGACCTCAGCGATGAAGTCTATGTATTCCCTGTACTGAGTCTTCTTACAGTGCCGCCGCTGGTATTTCCCACAGAAGTCAAAAAAGCAGCAGGGGAGCACAAAGTAGCGGCAAGAGTAGGACGATCTGTGGAATCAAGCAGGTTGGAACAACTCTTAAGATTCCAATAATAACCTAACATCTAGGAAAATGTTAGTCGAGCACTTTGGTCTGAGGACTTGCAGCTGTCTAATCAATTACTGGAAAAAATGTTTTGCATATTTGAACCTTTTAGCTCAAAATAGTAGGCCATGGTGTCAAGACCACACTTGCACTTCAGAGCAATCAAGAAATGCATTTTAAAATATGTCAAATAATACAAATATTAGGGCGGCACAGTGGCGCAGTGGGTAGCGCTGTTGCCTCACAGCAAGAATGGCCTGGGTTCGATTCCTGGCCGGGCGACCAGGGTCATTTCTGTGTGGAGTTTGCCTGTTCTCCCCGTGTCTGCGTGGGTTTCCTCCGGGTACTCCGGTTTCCTCCCACAGTCCAATTGGACGTGCTAAAAATTGCCCCTAGGTGTGTGATTGTGTATGTCTGTCTGTCTGCCCTGCGATGGACTGGCGACCTGTCCAGGGTGTATCCTGCCTTCCGCCCAATGACAGCTGGGATAGGCTCCAGCACCCCACTGCGACCCAGAAGGATAAGCGGTTTAGATGATGTATGTATACAAATATTACTTATACTGGAAAAAAAATATAATTTATATAATGGTTGGACAACATATGGAGTCAGAGGAAACAGATGTAGTCAAACTGTTTGGAGCAAGTCTGCTTCCCTGCCCTGCCAAGTTTCAAACAATGGCAAGAGCCAAGACATGATTCAGTTGGCAGGCTAAATATCTCCACCTAGTGTCTAATGCATCCAAAACTTGACAGACTGAACAAACAATATACCATAGCTTATACGATGCTATTCTTAGAAACTATAAACATTTCTATCATGCAAACACACCCTGAAACAGCTAGAAAGCTTCACATAACACTCTACATTCCAGCTTCATAATTTATACATAATCTCTCAGACGTTCTCTGCTATTTCCCTGCAAGCCACAGTGGATTAATTGATAATGACTTTAACAGTTATGCTGAGGTCATTTTCAAGATGTTTCCTCAGGGTACAGGCATATTTATGAGAGTTCCATGGCGATGACTTTCTTTAAACTAACTTCAGCTCAGCAGACAGGACACTGAGTCGCACATCCCCAGCCACAGGCCTCGAGTAATCGAGGACCAGCATAGAGCAACACCAAGTCCTCAAACCCCTTCACAGTCACTTAGTGGAGATCAGGTGGTCCTTCAGCGCTAGTACTAAATTGCAAGCACTGATGACTTGCCTGGCTGCTATAACAGGGATCCATGGCGTGAGCTCATCCGAGTGATTTCCAATCAGCCAGTCCGTCTCAGGGAAGAGGAAGCTTGCGCTGGGTGTGATTGCCTTTTCCTGAAATAGACAAGAGCACCCGGTGCATTTCATTATCAGCGGCCAAAGGTGTAATGACATTGAGAGTCACTCATCTCCGTCTGAAAATGGAAAAGGAACAAGCTGATCTGCTTGAACAGGGTTTCATGTGGTGGAAGGATCAAACAAATTTTTAGTAACAATGCTGCATTAAAGTGTCATGCTGTGGTCATACTGAGCATGTGCCTCAGGATGTGTTATTGTGTTCTATATGTAGGATCAGTTATCTATTTCAACACTAAACATAGCTTGACTCATGTGTATACATGCTAATAGGAAGCCTTTATAGCTTCCTATAATGACTGATTAATCAAACTCAAAGAAAAATCCATTAAAATGTACTTTCTTGATGAATCAGCAAGGATTAGTTGGCAATATGCTGAATGCTATTGCATATTTCAAATTCTCATACTAGACAAACAGCTTGACCTCCTCCCAGTGTATCTTTTCCAAATAAAGTATTTTGGAATATATGCAAAGCTATTTATGGTTTGTTTTTGTTAAATTCATTTTATTATTTGGTCATCTTGTTTTAACCTCATGACTCAATTAATAATACAGAATCTGAACACCCCTGGTCAAAATTCATGTTTTGTTGATTAGTGAAAATAAGTTAACACACCTCCTACAGAAATGTAAATATGGCATTTTTCTGCAAAATTTAATGCACAATTTCTGTTTACTGGCTGTGTTTAAGATACTGGAACATAAAATATAAGATGTGCTGTAACTGTCGCACATGCTACATATTATGTTCTACTGATAGCTACAGCCCTAGAAGAGATAATAAAAATGAGCACAGTAACTTCAGTTCTCGGTCCCACAATGCTAAACTTATACAACACATTCTACACTTCTAATCTACTGCTGAGGAAAACATGGACTAACCCACTGACTGTCATTTTGACTGTCCTTGAAAGATAAACTATAAACTATCAAGGATAGATCACATCACAGTTTCCAACACAAAGGAATCACTAAAATACCCAAATGCATTAACTGATTAAAAATCAATAATAAAAAAAAAATCTCAAGTGAATAATATACACGAACATGTGAACACAACTACTACTAATCACACTGTTAACTTTTGAGTATCTGAGAACCTAAAGACCAAAACTACTGCTAGATGACATTTCATTTTCCCACCACCACCCACCACATCCCAGGCTGTATCAGTACAGATGGACACACCATGTGTTTTACTGATGTTTCATGACTACAGGGACTACAACAGTACATGACTGCCCATCCTAAAAGCACAGCAATTCTCATCAGGCACGGCCCTGAATAACCCCTGCGCCTCCTTTCACGGCAAAACACTATAAATAATACAGCTCTGGGGACGTTCTGAGTCTTGTTTTGTAGAGAAAAGAGTACGCTGAAAAAAGAATTGACTGAGATTAAAGCAACGAAAGGATATTCACGGTATTACTGAAGAAGATTACAATTTAGTGGAGAAACATTCTCATGCAAGTTAAAAGTATACAAATCCATAAATTCAATCCTCCTTTTGAAGACGAAGTTACAGCATTAATAGTAACAGTATCAGTTACAATACTTGAGGTAGTACTTACAGTAATGTAAATGAAGTAATATCAGAAGAACAGAAGAAATACATTTCTGTTCTACAACAGTGTGTCACTGCTTTACTATTGTTTTCATCATATTGTTATACCTTTAATTCAACATGAATCTAAATAATAGCACATTTTTCTGCCATACTAGGTTCTATTTCTGAGCGAAACACAGGCTCTCTGAGTTAGCTGAGCTTTCTTGCAATGATAAGTGGGGGGTGTTAGAAATATGATATTATTTCTTAATATCAATTTTGTCTGTCCACTGGGGCACAGTGATGTAATCAAAACTCAAGATACTTTCAAGGAGGGCAAAAGTCATTGCTTTTTTGTTAAAGATTACAGGAAAACAAGAATTTAACCTTTCAACTAGTATGGTATGATGCTTAATTTGAACAGGGACATGAAGTAACAGGGTAAAAAAGGTCAATCTTCAGTTCAAGCTGGTGTTAAAGAATAAAACAGGAAAAACAAAAATAGAGAGGCAGCCCTTGATTTAAGATGAGAATTAATTAAGACTTTGTCTACAGCAGTGGTCACCAACCCCAGTCCTGGAGATATGCCTTACCACAGAGTCTCCAACCACAATCTGCCACACCTGCTCAGCTAATTAACTTCTCCAGGAGTACTCCAGGAGGAGGAGGGGGGGCAGCATAGATACAGGTTATAACTCAGGGGAAGAGTTGGTGACCACATGTTTAGACCAAGATGGAACAAGAACAAGAATGTTCTAGTACTACTAATCCAGAGATACTCACAAATCAGAGGAAGCCATTTAATATGACACATACTGTTATTTTAATACATATAAAAAATTACAATTTATGTTCACACCTGAAAAAAAGAAGATACACTCTACTCTTTGCCTTTACTTGTATATATACTCAGTGACCTTTGCTTTGCTGTTTCTTAGTTCAATGTAACACTGTTACAGACATCTGGAGGACTATTCATTGCTCCCAAGAAACATACAATAGTGCATCACTGGTATGAGAGAGTTTGTCGGACAGAATGTTTTGCTCATTAAAATTAAACAATTGCATAAGGCCAAATAGCCTGTAGAAGAAGAAGTATTCTGAAAACGGGGACATCTTTATCTGTAACCCTCTTTTCAAAAGCCTGACAACAAAACCATGGCCATTAGCTAGAAATCTATTTTTCTTTCTCAGCCTTGTAGATATTTTTTATGTTTTCTCTAAGGGTTAGTCATCACCAGTTCGCATCATTCAAGGACTTTACCAACTGCATGACAGTGTTAGCAGTCCTGTTTGGATGAAGGCTAACACGTGCCTTGCTTTAAAACACGTGAAGGCAGACACAGCATCTACTAGCAGCTTATCTCTCTTTGTCACTGAAATATATCCCAGCAAAGCGTGCACATCTTTGTTGCTATGGCAGCCTATCCTTCTCACAAGTTCCACTCAATTAGCATGCAACTGCAAATTTACCCTTTCTTTTTGTATGACAACAAGGTCCAATTTGTAATAATTTGTCATTATTTACATGAAGCATAACATAAAGATTTCTCAGTTCAGCTGGTTAACTTAAAAGAAAAGGACTGTCCAATAGCAATGTTCCTTTGCTCTTTCTTTATTGGACTGGGCTTAAATCATCTGTTCAACTCAGAAATCCTGCTTTATGAAATATCCTCTTGGTTCATGTGTGTTCAGACCTGGACTAGAAAAAAAACGAGTGCTTCGTTCCCGAAGACTGGATTGACAAGTGTTCACTGTGTACTCTGGCCCTGAGCAATTCAATCTAATTCAATTTAGCCTTCAGTACCTACTCAGAGGTTTATTTACTTTATTTATTTATTTATTTAATTCCAGTCAAAACAGCTATTAAGTACAAGTTATTCAATTTTTAGCATCAGGAAAAAACAGAAAACATATTTAACATATTTATACACTTAGTGTGTCCACTCTTTGCCTTTATTACAGCTTCCATTTTATTTGGTAGACTTGCTGTTAGTTTTTCAAAGAAACTGACAAGGACATTTTCCACACCTCACAAAGTCCAAAGTCTTATGCATGGTCCACACTCAATGTTGAAAACATGGGAGATTCAACATTGACAGATTCCACTGTTGTTTTTTTATCCTTAGTCATCTTTCAGTCATCAAACACCCACATTACAAGATTTACCACCTCACACTGTAAGGTTATGCTCATCAATCAGTGGCCTGATCTGTCCCATCTCTCAGAACCTGAGATCTCACAGAATGTCTTGTGAACAAATGTAACTTTAGATCAAAACATACATGGCAGAGAACAGCAAGGCACATTTTAATGTGCCAGTTATTTGTGCATTTAGCAGCATGAAAGTGAAAGAAAATGTATAATGTTAAGGTAAACATTGTGTATCATATGAGAGAATTCTTGCCCTCAACACTACAGCATGTGGAGACGTAAATACTCACTATGTTCAAAATTGAGCCAATCAAGACGGGACTGTGAGTAGACTTGAGGGGTAAGATTGGATTACACACTCTCCACGCCAAGGGATAATTTGGGAAGATAACTGTTAAAGCCTTTTTTGAAATCTGCCACCTTTTGCGAATGTCAAGACAAACAGATCAGCCTCAAAATAGATTCACACTTTCTGCTTCTCACAATCCAAAAAATCCAAAACACATTCAGTGATATTAAGGTCTGGGCTTTGAAATTGGTCAGTCCATCATTCTTGTTTATATGTTCTTGTTTCTTTTGTTTCTGTGTTTTTTTTGTCTTTTTCAGTAACAGCTTCTTGACAGCTACACATCCTTTCAGACTTATAGTGTTGTGTTGTCTTCTAACAGTGGAAGGATGGACAGAAACACCTGTGGAGTTTTGCAGTTATTTTCCTTTGACTCCCCTTTCTCACGCAAGTGAATTATTTTATATATGTAACTTGTGCTTAAAGGCCATTCTGACTGGAATTAAAATAAATCAAGGGTGGTACCTGAATTTTGCAGAATACTGTCGGTGGACCGTTTAGGCTTACAGTAATACTTCACATTCTTATGGACCAGTTAAGATAGACCATGTTCAGTCTGTATTTGGTGACATCTGTTACTGCCTTATTCCATCCTCTTAGAAGGCATAAGAAGGAAACAACTATACAGGCTGTAGACGCTTACCTCTAGATGTGTGTTGGGCCCATACATATCCCAGATTTTCCGCTTGCGCACATCAATACCCTTTCCAGGGTGCTGTAAAAGAAAGAGCCCGTGACTGCCTTAGCCAACAAAATCAGTCACTCTAATCAGCCCAGGACACTGGGTACATCATGGTTACAGTTCATTATTCCATTTCACTGTGAGTGTGGGTGTATATGCAGCTGAAGGGGACAGGGTTGAATTTCTAATCTATTAAATGATTAAAAAGGCGGAGAACAAGCCATACGGCTTCCTGATCATCTTCACCTGGCCTCTAGCATGTCATTGATTTTAATGGTGGATGAATAATAGCAGATTAGAAGACCTCAATGGCAAAGGTCAAACTTAAAGTAGAGGGAGTAATAACTTCATACCACAGCAACTGAAATGAACTCACCCCTTCATTATTCAATATATGAACTAGCAGACCGTTTCCACAGCCGAGGTCCACAAAAGACTGTCTGAATGTCACTCCTTTTTCAGCACGCTCTTCACCCCACAAAACCTGTGCGGTGACAGTTTGGTTTCATTTGTAACATTTCAATTGGGCATAAAAGCTTAACGGAATACTCCACTGTTTTTCTACCCAATATGTATCTGCTGCATTTGTAGCATGTGCTTGATTTCCACAAACAATTATGAAATTTTTCCATGGACTAAGACATAAAAAACATTATGTCCATTGGCTTTTACTATAAATGTGTTTCAAATTGTCTACTGTTATCAACATAGGCTACAGATGTGAAAAATGGACATTATGTTGAAAAATACTGGAGAATTCTTTTGAATGACACAATAGATGTGGCCAACCACAACCACAAGACACTGCGTTAAACTGTATGTCAACCTTTATTTACAAGACGACACATGCTAAAGCAGCACAGTGAAGACACGAGGACTGAATTAAAGTAAACTTACCAAGAGATATGTAGCAATGGCAACATCTTCAAAGACAAACTTCTCAGGATCAGTAACTTCAGGCCAAACCTAGAACAGTACTTTATTAACTCTATAGCCAAAGAGCATTTTTACATGTGCACTCTTAGCTATGTTTCACTTAGTAAACAGATAAAAACTGCATCACTGGGGCTGTAAAGAGTTCTTGGCCACTGCTGGCATGCAATATTAATGTGAAACATTTTGAACAATTAGGGGTCCTTAAACACACAATACTTTTTGTGGGGGCTTCCCCCCCCCAATTTAGTCTTTTTTCTTTCTAATGAAAGAAAGAAGGCCCTGAGAACCTGGAACACTACTTTACACCATTTGGGAGTCCATTTGTAGTTCATTAATTAACTACATACATAGGAAATATAGTTTTTAAACAACTCTGTGTCACTGCTGGACTGAGAAAAGTCCACCAACCAAAAAATATCCAGCCAAAAGCACAGATGTAATATATGTGTCAGATATTTCCCAGTGGATGAAAAAATTCTACAACTAAGAAAAAACTGATATACTGATCCTTGGTAACATTCAGAGAAAGGTGCTTTATGAGGAGCTAGGCTTTTTTTTCATATACCAAACCTGAAGAATGAAACCTGGGTGTAATCTGAGCTCTGTTTTATCTCTCATGGAAATGCAGTCACTAAAGTAGCCTTTAATCATTTAAAAAGTTCAGCCTTTTCTATCTTGACATAGAGAAACTTGTTCATGCATTTGTTACAAGCAGAGTTGATTACTGTAATGCTCTTTTTTCTGAGCTTCCATAGAAAACAATCTATCCTCTACAGCTCATACAAAATGCGCCGTATGGATCCTAATGAAAACAAAAAGAGAGCTTATATCACCCCTTTCTGAAAGTTCTCTTACTTGTTTTTAAAGCTGTAAATGACCCTAAAGCACCTGCATACCTCACAGAATGTCTGTTAATGTTCCATTACATCAGCAGATACTGGCCTTCTGCAAATACCTTCCGTAAAATACAGAAATCGTGGAAAGGCCTCTTTCGGTTACTATGCTTGCAAACTGTGGAACTCAATTCCACCTTTTATAGACAGTCAAGCTCAGTGCACATTTTTAAGAAAAACCTCAAAATGTAATCTCTTTAATTAAATTATCTTATTTAATTAAAGAGATTAACTACATTAATTAATAAAATTCTACATATCTTTTGCTATTTATATGATTTAATTTAATATGCATAATTTCTTCTATTACCATTAAGCTTCTTCACCTGTTTGTACTGCACCTTGAGCTGCCACCAATACGAAAAGTGCTCTATAAATAAACCTATAATTTATACAATTATTATTATTATTATTATGGGTATGATTATTATCATGGAACCCTAAAGTGTACCCAAAAATTGGTTGCGTAATACTTTTAATTTGCACAGAGCGAGAATCTGTGCACTGAAACATTATTAGCATTTCCTCACCTTAACCATCTCTTTGTACTTGTTCTTCAGCTGCTGGTAGAGGATGCTGTACTTCTCTACAGGGATGAGGGACAGAGTACTCTTGAACTCACTGCTTTATTCTCTATCGCCCAGCGTGCTAGTTTAGGAAGAAGCTCTGCTGTCAGCCAAGAGAGTTTGGGGTAGGCCACTCCATCACTGAACCACTGATCAGGTCTCAGAGCATGAAGACACAGCACACTACACAAGACAGAACAGAGCCGTAACTGTCCGCACAACCAGGTTGTTATCATCAGTTATACTCTTATGATTACTATGAAGAGAATTTTAAGGGCCTATATCATGGAAAAGTTCACTTTCCTGGAATTTTCACAATTTTCTAAAATAAAAAATCTGATAGTAGTAGATAATTATCATTAAAGTTTCACTATCCAGTCCAAACAATCCATTTATGGAAACTAAAATGAAAATGAAAAAAGCAACCAGTTTAAAAGTTACTGTTTTTGTGATGTCACAAAAACCAATGTATTTACATATATCTGACTGTGCAGGTGACAGTTTGTCCTCACTCATTCAAATTGAAGTGATAAAGAGCGCTTCAGCCTGGACTGCTTTTTGACCGAGGTACAATACAGGTTCACCAGTTAGAACAGAGCTCATTTACATACATCCGTTTAAAAGGCACACTAACAAAAACAGCCAGTTTATCTCTGGGGGATAAAGAGAAGTTGTAAAATGATCATTTAAAAATAACAATGACTGTTTTTGGTATATAAAATCACAAACTTTATATGTGGACCTCAGAGAAAAATAAATATAAGCAAATGTAGGATATGGACCCTTTAAAACATGAATGATCACGTATTACTTCAAAGTATTGTGTTTCTGTCTAACTCTCATTGTACTTTAGGAAAGGCACTCACCATTCATCTGTCCTTTCCTCGAGCTGAATCTTATAAATATTACTTTGCTTGAGAATAATGTGACCCTCTCTGGTTTCTTCAATGGGAAGAAATGTCACTGCTTGGCCAATCAAATCTGAAGTATAAATCAGTGTAAGGTAAAATAACGTACAGAATGATGAAGAGAAAATACAGGTGCGGATTCAGCTCCTTGCTACTGGTCTTACCTTTGACTATGATCTCTTTGTACAGGTTTCCATTGCAGTTTAGCCCTACTTTAGGAATAATGGTCCTGACTCCTACACACCAGCTTTCCTCAGTCTTACGGCCGCTGTCCGCAGTATAAACATCAATAAAGGGGAAAAGCTCGCTTAATTCGTGGTCATGTGTCCCGGTTAATCGAGCCAGAGAGCTGCCTAAGTCCTCAGAGCAGACCGCCTCATACTCGGTCTCCTTCACTCCACACAGCCTCTTATTCACAACATGAGGCTTCTTTATCCAGACCTCAGCGGCCGACCAAAACCCCTCTGCTTTACATCTGACCTCGAGGTTTAGCTCAGAGACTGTGGGCATTATTTCGGAAAAGAAAACACAGCATTGCCTTAAAAGATCCTCATTAAACTTAACACAACTTTCACTGTTTGCTCCAGTGGTTTTACAGTCAGCTCGCGAGCTACACTAGATGCAACATCTACTGCGTTTCAAAAGAAAAGTCCTTGGTTGACACACAGAGTGTAAACAGTAAAACAAATAAATAAAATTAGCCCCATTTGCATTCCACACAAACAAAATTTAAAAGCTGGTTCGTCTGTTGTGTTTTACATGGTATGTTTGAACCGACACTAAGGGCTTGCGCAATGTGTCGGTTTGCATATTTTCTATTTGCAAAGCTATTTTAGCCTCCTTGAATGAGCAATTTCACGTTGACTACTTATTTTTGTCATTTATTTTCGACCCACGGTATTTACTAACACACAATTTAACTTATTAATAGAGCTTTTTGTGGGATTTCATTAATGAGGCTTCTGCTGAAAGCGGCGTGGTATAAAATACCATTGTAAAATTTTAAAGCTGATTGTAACACTACGTAATACTTATTGTAACACTCTGGGCGATTTAATTTCGTTTCTTGTAAAGAAACTTTTAGTTTATAGTAACCAAAGGCACCACTTCCTCTGTCGAAGAGGTTTCAACTTTCACCCGAGTCCTGAACCTTCCTCTTCCGTTTCGGTGAAATCAGGTATGGCGGCTTCAGCTCTTTCTCGAGTGAACCGAAAATATTATCGCTTGTAATCCTCTGAATTGACGAGTTATGCACAAGCAGTTTTCATCTGTATATGTTGTATATAGTCTAAAGACCTGAAGCCGAGTGATATTGGCTCGGTTATTCATCTGATGGGTCTTATATTGTTTATCGCCCGTCGCTGACGGAAATGTGAGCTAGTTGGCTAAACCGGTGTAATTCAGAGGCCTTAATGTTAGATTTACACTACTTTATATTACTTCGGTAAACAAATATTTGACGTGATATTGAGTAAGGGAGGTTTTTTGTGACTTATTAGACTCTAAAGTCAGTTTACGTTCTGTAAATGAAAACACGACTTGAAGTATTGCAGACAGCGCTGTGCCAGCGGCAGTAGGTTTGATTTAAATTTGCACGCATCACTCCTCAGGTCAAGATGGTTCAGCGCCTGACATACCGCCGTAGGTTATCCTACAACACCACGTCCAACAAGACCAGACTGTGAGTACTGATTCTTGCTGCAGTGCTGATTGTAGCCCAGCTCTTCTGCGGTCCATACACTGGTGTGACTGTTCATCTGAATGTGTCAGCATGTTAATATTTTCTGATTATTGTAAGGTTTGGCCCAGAACTTACTAAACAAGTTGTTCTGTCTCTTCTCCTCGCTTTTAGGTCCCGAACACCTGGTAACCGTATTGTGTATCTTTACACCAAGAAGACTGGTAAGGCTCCCAAGTCAGCATGTGGAATCTGCCCTGGTACACTGCGTGGTGTAAGTATACTTAAGTACTAAAACATTGAAGACATGTTTTGAAGCGTTACACAAAGTATTTTGCCCGTGCTAGAAATGTGAAAGCATTTAGGGGTGGGCTCTTTCGTCTGAGGGATGGATGGATTTAACATTGCATTACGGATTGCACTTTGGGGATAGTAATATCGCTATGCTCAGAATATACTTTGGCCAGCATTTCCTAATTCTGAATCTAAGAACCCAGTGACATCTTGGATCAGCACATCTGATCTAACTTATGAAAAACTAGATAAATAGCTAATAAGCTGGATCATCAGTAGGGATGTGTGATATCGGTATCAACAGAAAATCGCTCATTATTAACATCAGACAGATGTTTAGATTTGACCAACGTTTCAAACAGATGTTTCAGTAATTATTGTGTTCTGGAAGAGCAGGTTGGTTAGATGATGCTGGGCTAGTCACCAACACTACAGAAATGAATGCCGTTTTTCTGTAATGCTAATCCGAACAGATGTAGTCCCAAATTTTATATGTATAATCTGGGCAGCAGTGTACATAAGTATTGGGTGTCTGCATCAGCTTGCATTTCTCATGTTGGTTCATCCCTGATTGTTAGGGTTTTTAACTTTCATAGGTTGCATATTTTGGGATGCTGATTCTGTTGTTTTTATAGGCATTGTGTAGAAAGCTTTTAAAAGCTTTAGTGTTACTTGTTGTGTGGCAGTATATTTCTAATCCTGTTCCTCAAGAGTTCCTGCACTGTTTGTTCCCTGATGTGACTTGTTCTAAACACACAAATTGCTTGATAAGTAGTTGATGAGTCTGGTGTGTTGGTAACAGGGGAAAACACTGAAATGGGATAGTGCAGGGCTGTTTTAAAAACCAAACTAGGAGAAACACTAGTGTTTTAAAGAGCATCTGGTAATATGGCTAATTTTGTCCTTTTTTTGTCTTATCTTAAGGGTATAAGTCTTGATATGGCACATAATGGACATTCGCCCAGTTGCGAGTGCTTCTTTTGACAGTGTTTCAAGTACATTTGAAAAGTTGCCTTTTCCAATCTGAGCTGAGGCCTGTGATCTGTTTAATTATTTAAATCTAAAATTGTTGAGCCTGTACTTTGCTTTTTCTTGTTAAATTTTTGAAGAGCAGAGTGGTAGTTGACTAGACAGACAACCATTTCTGCCTGTATACTGTGCTCTCTGTCCTAATCCTGTTCTTATGTGCTTCGATTTAGATGCGTGCTGTGAGGCCCCAGGTCCTGATGAGGCTCTCAAAGACCAAGAAGCATGTGAGCAGAGCCTATGGTGGTTCCATGTGCGCCAAATGTGTGCGTGACAGGTAAGGGGCTCAAACCGTTGTTCAGAGTTGGATTGAATTGCTCTTGGGAATAGTGTTTGGTTTTGATAGCTTGTCTGCAAACTTTTTTTTTGTTTGTTTTTTTTGCTCAGCTCAATGACCAGTGGTATTTCACAGCAGAATTTTATGGTAAAGCTGGTTAACTTGAGACTAACATGGTTGTCCCAATAGGATCCTCTTTTACCTATCCTCCTAGTGGAAAATTGTGGTTAACTGAAAAATCCTGCTTTGTGAAATATCCACAGGACTCCATACAGCTCTGTCAGCCTGTAGTTGAGCAATCACTTTGTCATTAAAGAACAATTTTACGTATATTTAGTCCACAGTTCCAAATAGAGTACAGTGATTGAGAGTTCATGCACAGTTGTGGGGAGGAAGAGCAGTATAACAGAATGTAATTGATACAATACTTGGACAAAATCTTGCAGGATGCCTCGTTTTTAGTGTTCTTGGTTGATTAAAAAATGCTAACATCTGGGAGTGATTGTAGACACAGGAGAAAGTAAAGATGTTTTCGGTTATTACTAATTTTTGCAATTAGGAAAGTTTGGTCCACATGTGGAGCTTGAACTAATTAAGAACGTGACTATCTTCAATGTAAATACCTTGACAGCTCAAGAAATTTAGATGTATGCAGATCGTGAATGTAATTAGGTCAGTTTATGCATGATCTGTTGTAGAGAATTGGAACGGAATCCATTTGAGCTGTCAGCTGGACACCACTAGATATTTGATTGTGTTGCTGATACATTACTGAAAATTTACTGTAGTCCAGATATCTAGTGGATGGCCTGCTGGCTTGTTTTCAGTGAGTAGTAATAGCATAGATGAGTGTCAGTGAGATCAGTGGAATACTGTCCCTTTGATTAGTGTTACAGTGCTTGTGTAGTTTTGTAACACTGGGGCAAAATAGGTTATAGGCATCAGGTTTCTACACTTTATTCATTGTGTGATAAATTTTATTAGTGTTTTAAGTTTCTTTAGACTTGAGTGAAAATGTATTTTGTGAAGCTAATGACCCTTTTTGTTTTTTTAGGATCAAGCGTGCTTTCCTTATTGAGGAGCAGAAGATCGTTGTCAAAGTACTCAAGGCACAGGCACAGAGTCAGAAATCTAAGTAAACGTGTTTGTACTTTAAAATAAACTTTGCGGAAACAACTATTATTTGTCTTTGTATGTTCCTAAGTATGGAGGGTTTTTGGTGGTGCTTTGGCTTAGAAAGTGATGAGGGTCAGAGGCAAAATGAGCAGTGCATGCAGTGCACCATCTTTTCTGCAAGACAGTGTGCTACAAACAGCATTTTATATTGAACGTATGAATGGTACTGTGTTCAGAAACAACTGATGGCTTTGATAAACTACAAGGCAACAGATGGACTACAGTCTCTAACTTGCACCATCAAGGTGGGGCCATATCAGGTATGTCCAGTGTTACCTGCAAAGGGCAAGTGTGGCTACAGGATTTAACTCCAATAAAGAATTCTTTTGCCTTCTGTGCTCCTGCTTTGTTGGAATGAAAGCCTGCAGCCATATGGGCCTTTTGTGCATGAGATTGCACACGCCAGGGCTGTGAGGCAGGGGGTTGTAATTAAGTGACTCTTATTAGTCTCAGGGAAATTTCACCTCTGCATTTAACCCATCTGTGCAGTGAAACACCACATACACGCTAGTAAATGCACACACACTAGGGGGCAGTGAGCACACTTGTCCAGAGCGGTGGGGAGCCCTATCCACAGCGCCCAGGGAGCAGTTGGGGGTTAGGTGCCTTGCTCAAGGGCACTTCAGTCATGTACTGTCAGCTCAGGGGATTGAACCTTCTGGTCACAAGCCTGGTTCCCTTTGGGAAAAATTAAGTATATAGTCTAGATTTAGGTTTAATGACACAAGCTAGGACAGCCGATCTTTCAGTTACCTCCTTCCAGCTCCCAACAATACTCACAAAACAGCGCTACTCAATTTCGCACCTGACCAACATGGGTCATGAATATAACACAGCAACTGAGAGGACGACAGATCACAGATCAGTCATGGTCACAAAAACACATCCTTGAAAAGTACTCCTACTCATGAAATAGTTTAATAGTTAATTTAGCTCTAATCTACAGCACTGCATCATGGGTACTTAGCACTGGTTTGCAAACTACTAACAGGTTTAGTTGGCACCTTTTTGGCACCAAGAAGGCTGAATTAGGGCTGTTCAAAGTGTAGCCTAACAACACACTCCCTCACCTAGTCAGAGCACAAACATGTATACACTATACATAAAAAGGAAAATTATAATTTAATAAGTCTCAAGTACTTTACTAATAAAATCTACCCACTACAAACATACTATATACAAACATTATATAGAAATAATGCATTCATGTTATTTTATATTTTATAATTTTGCTTAACACCACTGACACAAATATTTTACAACATATGAAACTGTCAGTAGTAAAACCAAAGTTATCAGAAATATGAGAAGAAATCTCATTATCCATGCACTTCTCAGAGTTAATTATACTTCTTTTGAGTTTTCCATGTAAGCGGTAGTTCAAAAAGATCATCTTGTGTTTTTTTTAAATAACACAATATACTTACCTTTGTAACACCACTGACAAAAACTCTTGGGACAGGATTTATTACCACAATTCAGATTTTACACAGGACAGACAGTAATTGTTAATTTATTTAGAAAAAAAAAACCAATTTAACAAATAAAAAATTCTTTTTTTATATGAAATTTATACTTTAGCATCATTGAAGTCACTCCAATGACGCTGTTTTTCAAGATAAATAAAAATCACAAAAAGAACAATTATTATAGTTTATTTACTGGTTATTTAGCATTAGAATAAAGAAGTATCGATCAGCTTTATGATTGAGTTTCAAAGTTGGCTCGTGTGCGGCTGCATATGTAGCTAATTTCTGTAATTAGAAGGGGACTTTTGGACACACTGTATATCATACTTTTGTAAAGCACTATAGTATAATTTAATGAATGGGATTTTTGGTCAGTTCTCTCTTAACATTGTTCTGTAGCATTGTCTTGAGCAACATAAAGAACTTTTCTTTGCTGATAGAGGTGGGTACTAAAAAGTCACACTGCACTTACACACTTTATCGAAGCTGTTTTTGAAAAGGTGTTGGAGGTATTATTTCAGTGAAGTAACAGTAACTTTATACGGAGCCCCTAAGGTGACATGGTGATTTGTTAAGGCGTGGCCACGAAATAATATATTTAGGTCACAAGTTCCTAAATTTCTTGCCCATAATATAGTAATACGTGACCTTTATATATCAATTCGTGGCTTCATTAATTAAATGATGGCCTCAGTATATTATTTTGTGGTCACGCCTTATTAAAAAATAATCACTATATCCGCACTTACACTTGCTTTAGAATAACCGTTCGTGTTTAGTTTGATGTATGTTGTATTATATGCGCTGTGTCCTTTATTGTGGTGGCTCCCTAAACATCCTGCAGAGCCGTTTCCTGTACACGTCGTCTTACAGCGCTGTGGAGACTCCTGCGCTGAGCTGCTGGAGCTTCGCGTTTGGAGAGGAGTTTAATCATGGAGACTCTGGTTGGTCTCCCGTTTGCTGTGTTAGAATGTCCAAATATCAAACTTAAAAAGCCGTCCTGGCTCCACATGCCTTCCGCAATGACCGTGTATGCGGTCGTGATTGTGTCCTATTTTCTCATCACTGGGGGTGAGTAACGTTAAGTCGTGAAACCGGCTAACCGGCTAGCCTGTCAGACAACCTGCTAATTTGCAACATATTCAATAAGCTCAACTTGGTTTGTCTTAATTTTGCATTGTTTTGACGAGTTTTTCCCAGGGTTTATTACTGTTTAAAATCACCAAGTTGATATTTTTGGTGCTGTCATTAGCTAAGCTAGCCAGCTAGCTAGATATTTTGGCTGCTGCGTTTCAGTGTAAGTTACTGCAGTAGCTAACGCTAGCTAGCTCTTGTGCTAAACTGCAAGTAAAGCATATAAGTTAGTACATTTTAAGATATCAGGCTTCATCTTATGTATTTCCATAGTCCGTTAGATAGGTAAACAACTGGCAAATAAATGCATAAATAGCCATCAAGTCTAGCTAGTCTCTTTTTGAGGGATATCTGCTAAGTAGCTAGTTAGCTAACCTAGCTTGGTGCTAAGCAGCTAAGCTGTGTAATTGTTTTGTTTATAAATGTAAATAATCCTGTCTTCAGGTATAATCTACGATGTGATTGTTGAACCGCCCAGTGTTGGCTCCATGACTGATGAACATGGTCACCAGCGCCCAGTGGCGTTTTTGGCATACAGGTAAGTTTTATCATCAAGCTGTGTTGCAGGTTAAACACAGTAACACAGACCTTAGTAAGAATTACAGTATTTCACTCATGAATGCAGCTATGTCCAGTATACAGACTCAAGCCACCGGAGGTGTCGCACCCGTTGTAGGTTTATTTTATACGATGAAAAAATAAGCCATAACCCTGATTAAATGATATGAGCAAATTATAAAATAATTCACATTGAGACAGTTTAACAATATTGAATATAACAAAATGTTCCACATTATTAAGAAAAACTGTGAATGCTGTTGGAGTTGTTTCACTGTTCTAAGCTCAAATCTGTGACACAGCTCATGCCTTCTAAAACAGCTACTGGAGATCGGGGCACAAACTGATGCAGGATAAAATGTAACATGGATATTTTAAATAGTTAAATTGATTCAAGTAGAACATGCTTTTAGTCATATTCTCATATTGCTATGGCAACAACATCTGCAAATTTTAACAGCAACCTGGCAGATATTTCTCCAGAGTCACCCTAAAGACTGAATAGGTGTATATTTTTATCATTGACTTGTGTTAATAAATTCACAGCAGGGTTAGCTGTAATGCACAGTTACCCAAAACAGTCTTTTTTTCCTTTTTTGGAAGGTTTTATGCACAAATTCTTTAAAAACACACTATAGATGTCATGTGGATGAAATATATTTAAATTTAGTCATACTGATATTTGCTCTTCTTTTTGGTCAGGTTTGTAAGGTTGTAAAGCTTGTCTGGTTCAAAAACCATAGAACTGTATTGGATTAACTGTGTTACGCAACACTTTTTAGGCACTGTTATAACAGCCCCTGCATCTGTTGCAGTTAACCCTGCCTGTGGGGCTAGTTGTATTGTTTTCAATCACTCCACTTCTGGCTGAATTGTTTATAAACTGTGTGTGCTGGAACCAAAGTTTATGTTTTCATTTGTCGCAGAGACATGTGAGTGGCTTTTTTTTACAATGACATTAGTCCTCCTCAGAAACTTTTAAAATTGCATAGCAAAAACTAAAATGCACTAGGTTGTGCTCCCCTACCTGGTATTTGACCTCCAACATTGATACATTCATTCAGAGTAAAATACAGCTACCCCTCATGTTGGGGCACATTGTTGCCTCTGTTCTGTGTGCCTTAGTGTCTCCCACAAACTAACCAAACAAAACACAACACGCTTGCCCATACTTGAAGCTTCTGTTGGTGGGGAAAAAAAATGGCATCTCAAACTGTGGTACTGGAGTTTAGCACAATTTGGTGTTTTTCCTGTTATACACCTTTTAAACCTGGCAGTTGATGAGTGAAATCAGCTGTGTTTGAGCACAGAAGCAGTCGTCTTCTCCCCAGCTTGCCTTTTTCGAGTCTTGACTCAACCCACTGCTGTACCTGAAGCATAGCAATGACTTCAGTGTTCCCCTATTTTTGCTTTTAGGCAAGTGTGGCAAATATGAATATGTTACCAGTGTATGATTTATTTGTTTAGTTGTTTAAATGTTTCCTCAAACATCCATCTGCTCTCTCACGCTCAGGGTGAATGGGCAGTACATCATGGAAGGTCTGGCGTCCAGCTTCCTCTTCACCATGGGCGGCCTTGGCTTCATTATTTTGGACCGCTCCAATGCCCCCAACATTCCTAAGCTCAACCGCTTCTTGCTGCTCTTTATTGGCTTTGTGAGCGTGCTGCTGAGTTTCTTCATGGCCAGAGTGTTCATGAGGATGAAGCTGCCGTAAGTCCATGATTCCTTATCATTTACATTAGCTGGAGTCAGAGAAGAGCAGAAAATAAGAGTTTCTTAAGCTGTTGATCTTCTGTTGCTTGCTTGTTGCCTACCTCCTAACACAAAGTCTTGAACTGAATTTAATGCCAACGTTTCTTGAAAAATTTGTGGTTGTTGAATGAATTTAGTTCTGCAGGTTTCTGAAATCACAGCACAATGCAGGTTTGTTTGCTGCTTGTTACACACATGTAACTAAAACAATATTTGTATTAGTAAAAAATCAAATTAAGGATGCAGTACGAACTGCCTGTAAAATAAAAAAGTCACACACTCCTGTAATTTTACATTTAGCAAGTGTTAGTCACTGTGGAATTCCACTGATATTTGAAAATTTCTGCATAATTAAAGGGTTAAGATGGAAACAGTCATTCAGAGTGGTTTGGTATGAAATGTTCTGTTCTAGAGAATTTTTAGGAGTCAGAATTGTTTAGAGTGGTGGTGATAGGAACTGGATGCCTGATGAGTTTAACACCTGTAAAAGCTCCCTCACAGAAAGTTCTTGCATAATCATCATTAATATGCTGTCTGATGTCTGAGACATTGTTTTACGATTGTTTTGAGAAAATGAGTTTTGAAAAAATGACTATGAACAAAAATATGGTCAACGTGTGTGTATATTTCTCCGAAATGAACCATTTTACATCAAACCACTGAGAGTTTTGTTTACTTATATAATGTATATAATGTGTGGTATAATATAAAATGTGGTAATGTGTTTTGTTTTACAGTGGTTATCTCATGGGTTAAAGCTGCACAGACAAGGCCTTTAGTGTGAAACATCCCACAGACAGAGAGTGAAGAATGACTGCAGATGAACAGGAAACCCCCTTCCAGTGCCCCAAGGATCAGTGTGATGGGCAGTGTTTCTGCCCACCTCCTAATTTTGTGTCTGTGTGTGAATGACTTGTCCCCAAGAGCTCTATGTTACTGACTAGAGTTTAGATTTATTGAATCCTGCAAAACTTGCGTACCCGCTGTTGATAAATATGGATAGGGAAGGGAAGGCTTGCATTGAATGGGAGTGATATGTTGAGTGATCAAAATCCATTCGCGTATGGAATCTTTCTTTATGCACTTGTTTTGTACAAATCTAGAAAAAGGCCTCACAACCTGGCAGCTGTGTGATGGGCTGTGTTTTTCTATATACAACCAAAATAAAACTTGTTTCCACAATTTTGAGTGTTTTTTTTTCCCCTCCCAAGACACATTTACTCTTATGTCAGTTGGGTAGAAGAGTGTGTTCTTTTGGCAGAGTATTAACATGTGCCTCGAAGAACACAATTGATAATCACAGTAACACCTCTTATAAAATGGTCCCCTTCAGACACCAGAGGGAGACATTTTACATTACAGCTATGGTGGCAGGTTTTGTTTCCTGGCAGGCTCGCGCGAGTGAGGAAAGGATAAAAGGAGCCGTATAAGTGTAGAGATTATAAGTGAAGACAAGAAGACTTGCTTAACTTAGGCTTTTTGCACAGGAATAGCTAATAGCCTTTTACCTAAAGTTCACATTTGGAAAAATAGGCCCATTTTCAGTAATGGCTTACATCCACACTTACAACATGGTTAAGACTACACCGCTGTTATCTCTAAAATAAATGCAAAATTATGTTATCAAACAACTTGAATTGTAATAAATCCTTTAAAGTTGTCCCAAATTGCCATACAACTGCACTGTATATGAACATATGTTCTGTTCCATGTTCATATGTTTTTTTTCCCAGAAAGTATTGTGAGGATTTCAGAAATATGTGTTGAGGTTTGTGAAAGAGGTGTCCCAAATGACCTAAACTCACCCTTGCTTGATTTTCTACAAATAATTTGCTAATGATTGCACAAAGACCATGGACATCAAATTTAGAATCAACAGGTATGCTAGTTCTAAGCCAGCCAGCCTCCCTTCTACATCTCACAGTGCTTTGTAAAAAAAAAAAACTGCAGCTCACTTTCGGTCACTGAGGGCAAAGAAACCAAATTATGTAATAGATTACTTCAACAAACCCAATTCCAAAAAGGTTGGGACAACTGCAAATAAAAACAGCAATGATTCACAAATCCACTCTGCCCTGTATTGAAACAAAAAACAGTACAAAGACAAGATATTTGATGTTTTAATGTATCAACTTAGTTGTCTTCTTGTGAATATACACTCATTCTAAAGTTAATGCCTGCAAGGCAATATGTCCCAAAAAAGTTGAGATGGGAAATTTAAGACTAGAAACATTGCAAAATGTTGAATAAAACTTCTTAAAGAGGTGATGTAATCATAATTGAGTATAAAAGAAACACCCAGGAAAGGCCTAGTCTTTGAGCAAGGATGGGTCAAGGCTCACCACATTGCCAAAAATACTGTTTCTCAGCCAGAGACTGCAAGGATTTTAGGTATTTTACCCCCCACATTGCATGTCACCAAAAGATTCATGGAATTCAGAGAAATCCTTGTGTGTAAAGGAAAAGGGCAAAAAAAGAAACACTGCAAAACTGCCATGTTTCTGTTATGGATATCACCACATGGGCTCTGGAATACTTTGGAAAACTATTGTCAATAAACACCGTCTGTTGCTGTATTCACAAATGCAAGTTAAGACTGTGCTATGCACAGTGGAAGCCATATGCCAAAAACATCCAGAAATGTTGTCACTGAGCATAATTCTTTTTCATCTGAAAAGGAATGATGCCCAGTGGAAACATGTGTTGTGGGCTGACAAGTCTACCTTTAGATTGTTTAAGGAATTAATGTGTTCTCTGGGCTGAATAATAAAAGAAGCATCCAGATTGTTACCAGTGTAAAGTTCAAAAGCCAGGGTCTGTAATCGTATGGGGGTGGGGGGCATTAGTGTGTAATTTGCACATCTGTAAAACCACCGTTAACACCGAACACATTTTGGAGCAACATGCTGCAGTTCAGGCATCGTCTTTCACAGGGCATCAATGCTTATTTCAACCTGAAAACACCAAGCCACTTTCTGTATGTGTTACAACAACATAACTGTGTAATAAGAATGGTGCTAGACGGGCCTGCCTGCATTTTATTAAGCTCAAAATATGACAGCAAAGACCCCATACTGCTAACAGAATAGTTGCAAAAAATTCACCTTTCAAAACCGGATCAGTTTGTGTCTTCAGTCATCAAATGGTTATTAAACGCTGTTAAAAGGAAAGGTGATTGAAACATGTTCCTGTCTCACGTTTCGCACACAATCAGTGTATAATTACAAAAAACAATTTCATAAAGTAAAACATAAACTATCATGTTTATTTTACATTTTTAATTAATACACGTGTAACAGAATTTAGTAATCACCATTTTCTATTTGTATTATCTTTTCACATCCTGTCCCAACTTTTTTGGAATTGGCTTTGTACAACAATAGCGGTCTTGCACAAATCTAAATTTGCACAAAATGTTAAATAACTTAAAATAGTGACTGCTGTTACTATGATTAACTATTTCTTATATTCAGCAAAATAACAAAGTAAATCAATAATGTGTATTGTTACTGTGCTGTTTATAATAAAAATGCCCTATTTTTTATTTTGGACAAAACTAGGAGTACACAGAATTGCAAAATGGCAACAAACTAAACAAATAGCAAAAGAATTTTGCAAACATTTTTATCTAACTGTAATAAGTCTTGAATAGGAAACCAATAAAGCTCATCTGAAATCATCTCTTTGTCTCCTACAACCCTCAATTTGTTTTTCTACAGTCGGCCTCAGTGCAGAGCACTTTGAAGCCTTTTCCACTCCATTACAGTTAAACAGGCCAGTGAGTCGCAAGCTGTTATCTTACGAGATACTGGTGAAACTTGCTGAGTGTGGACTTTTGTCAGTCTCTGTACATGTGAACAGCTTGTAGACCAGATTCTGAGTTCAGTGTCAGCTTGTGGAGGAGCACCTGTTGCCAAAGTTAATATAGGTCTGTCAAACCTTTTTCTTGCAAAATGCATCAATGTGCAGGCCTTTTGTAATGTTTGCATAATGTGAACTTTGAAGAATGTTTGATTAGGTTTAGTTTTTACCATTTTTTCCCTGTAAGCAGCATTTTTCCCTTATTAATCATGCAGAGCTACATATTCAGTTCTTAATTGTTCTCTGTTGCTGATCTAGGGATGGCCTCTAAATAAAGGGCCTAGACATTAGTATTTAGTATTAGTATTAGTATTTGCTTATTTGTATTTGAGCTTAATCCGCTACAGAACCTGAGCTGGAGTTTGTGTCTTGAGCCATTTGATGGCATTTGAAAATGAGATATACCTACACTAATGCATCAGAAATTATAAGTGAAAATTTGGCAGCACTTACAATACAGCACTTGTCATTTTACAACAATACTTGATGAAAAACAATAGTACTTGGTGCTACAGTGTAATAATTATGTAATAAAGCTGTTATGTGCTTCCATAATTAACTTGTAGTGTGCTGCAAATATTACAATAATACTATCACTTGTAAGTACTACATAATTACCTCTTAAATTCTGAGTAATTATTATTATTACTACATTGTAGCCCAAAATACTGCTATGCATACCTGGTAGTCACATACGTTACTAAATACTTTTATAACCAATATGCAATGTAATTACTACTATTAACCTATTAAATACCAGGTACCATCCTGAAAAATAGTGCTAAAAAGTGCTACTGAAAACCCTCGTCAAGAAGAGTGAAAACATAATTTTTAGAATTTTATTTTCAGTTGACGTGTTCATTATATTTTAATGATGAATTATTACATAGAAACATAAAATACACATCTGTTACGTCCAGTCACCAACAAAATCTTTTTAAAAATTGTTTTGCAATTTGATCAAAATTATACACAAAGTAACTCCATGTTAAATAGTGTTTGTTTGGATTGTCAAGCTTATTATGAATCCATTAAAACATGGAAATGAATACCAAAACACTGGCCTTGATCTGTAAGCATAAAGTATACTGTTTAAAGTAAGACTCTGTTATGTTCTTCGTCTTTTGTTAGTTTTTGTGGTATGATGAATGTCACTGGTGCCATTTGAGAGGAACACATGTCCATTTTCCTCCAAGATCTCCTGGAGAAAACAAATATTGGTTTAACTGGTATGATTGTACTGAACTGGGATTGGTTATTAGATTACAGTTTAAATAAGGGAAGTGCTGCTAAGCCTGCTATGTCTAATAGGATAACAGTGGAACTTACTTTGTTTATACATTTGTAGATTGACAGTGATAAATACAAGAAAAGAAATATTTGTCTCCCAAACATATAGGATTAGGATTCTTCAACTTTGACCTTACCTTTCTCTTGCTGTGTGCATTGTTAGCATCTTTGTTTGCAGACATACAGAGGCCCAGAGCATTCTCAAGATCTTGAAGTAGAAGCACAAAGCAGATGTCATCAAAAAGGAGAGTATAGAGAAGTAAAATAAAACCAAAATTTTGGCTACCTGTAAAAAAAAAAAAATTAAAAAGACTACCTGTAATAATCTGGTCAATTTTTTCTACTGCCAAGTCAGCATCCTCTGTGGAGAAGCACATGGGAGGTTTGAACTTCAGGACGTTGCGGTGCGGACCATCAGCACTTACTAAAATCCGCTGATCTTTCAGCCTGTGGGGAAAACGTGTTTAGTAAAATTCTGAATTTGAATCTTTGTGCACTGTTTATGTTTACGTGTTGATGGACATTCATATGCAAAAGTTTGAAGGCCCTTGATCAAATTACATGTTTGTTGATTTTCTAAGTGAAACTAAGCTAGCACATCCTCTACAGGGAACAAAAAGTTTTCGGTAAATTTAGTGCACAATTTCTATTTATTTCCTGAGTTTAACATACTGGAAAAAATAAAACATTAAATATAAAACCTTTGCACAGGCTGCATTTTATGTATTTGTCCCCCAATATGTTCAATTCAGCAAATACACAGTGTGCATTAAAGTGTACAGAAATGTGTTCTCTGCAGAAGATGTGTTAACTTATTTTCACTTAGAAAATCAACATAATATGTCATTTGGGGCACCCAAAAGTTTGTATATGATGAATTCATGTTCTTTAACTATAAAGACACTTAAGGCTTCAGGTTATATTGCTCAAAGAGGGTCTTTACCTATATATGACATCCTGAGCTTCAGCTGTCGCAGGAGTTCTTTTAATCCGATCTTTCACCAGCTCCACCCCAACAAAGAGGCCTCGACCTCTGTAAAACACAAAAGCGGTAATCTTTGAGTCATTTGACATTTGGCTGAAACCAGTTTAGTCATGAATCTCTCAAAGAACCTGGAATGATAAGAATTTTCAGAAACATTGCAACTTTAGACAGCATTCCATCTCATTCAACAATGATTGGCAGGTCACATAATATTATGTCTATAGCCTTGTGTCTCAGAAATGGTAACTTTATAAAAGGAGAAATGTTATGGGTTTTTAGACTATTTCTTTTGGTCCATTCATTATGAAATGTTCACACTGTGGAAAGAGCAGCTGGTGTTTTCAAATGTTGAAATAAACTAGAAAAAGAAAGAAAGAGTTATGAGGCTTTAATACAACAGTGATGATTTGTTGGCATTTATGGCAAGAAGACAGAGCTGGATGGTTGTGTACCGAACAGCTAATTATTGCAAAGAATGTCAAACCCAAACTAAGGCTGGTTAACTCCCACTGGAAAAATACATAGTAGGAGAAGTGCTCACTAAGCAGTTGTAAGAACAGTACTGTAATGGGACCTGATGTCTCCAATTAAGGGGTGTCTCTCTTTCAGCTTCTCCAGCAGCTCAATGAGGTATCCTCCTACTCGTAGGGCATTTCCTTGGAGATCTTCCTTCTCAATCACATCCAACACAGCTAGGCCAATAGCACATGATACAGGATTCCCACCAAACTAGAGATACATGCAGAGACAGTCTTTAGTCAGGTTAACATGGTTGAAATGACTTACTGCTCCACTTATACTGCCATGCTACTGTACAGCCATCAATCCTTTGAAGCTGCAGTTATCAGTAGCAATACAAAAACAAGTTGTAATTTATACATAAATTATCTCTAGCTCATTAAAACACAAATTCTGTTGAAAGTTTCAATCGATACCACATTTGTATTTGTAAGCAGAATAGGAGATATATGATTATGATTTGAATTTCATGCAAAGTTATTGCTATGCATACTGTCTTGATTTGTGGAAAGATAATAGGTAATTAGGTCAATGTCACTGTAGGGGTGAACGCTAACTGACAGTTCTTTTAGATCAGCTAACAGACGCCTGCATTGACTAACACTGCTCTGTGTAATGGGAGAGAGGGAGGACCAGCGCACCCACTCAGAGACAGCCAGGCCAATTATGTTGTCTTGGACTCCTGGCCACAGACAGCAGTGGCATTGCTGATGATCAAACTTATGATCTCTCAACGATAGAGCCAATGCTGTTTGTGCTGCTCAGGAGCCTAAGAAAGAGACTTAAAGACTTAAACCTGTAAATTAAATGTAAATGTAAAATACTGCATGACTTACTACATATTTAAATATAAAATTACATAATTATGTTTGAAATAAGAATAAATTCTAAGTATTAATCATGGTCTATTAAGACTTACAAGTCAACTGAAAATTATTTAAGTGTAGACACTTTTTCTCACCGTGTTAAAATACTCCATTCCAGATGACATGAAGCTTTCAGCCACTTCTTTGGTGGTTACCACACAGGACATTGGATGTCCATTCCCAATGGGTTTGCCCATTGTGACAATGTCAGGTATGAAGTCTTCCCCTTGCAGTTGGAAGGCCCAGAAATGGGTGCCAACTCTTCCAAAACCGACCTGCACCTCATCAGCAATAAAGATACCACCTGCCTTTCTTACATGCCTGTAAAAAAGAAAGTTGTGGTAAACACAAATATGGATATGTACTACAAGTGCATTTTTTTCCATAACAGGTGTATAAAAACAGAAACTAGCAAACATTCTCATTTTAATGTTTGTGACATTCATGTGCTTTAGGTACTCAAATGTAAACATGCACTATGACATGCACGCTTACAATGCAAATAGAGCCTTGGTCACTTTTAACCGTCATTCAACTTTTTTGCAAAGATGAAAAAAATCATTACCACTTACCACATAGTAGTTGGCCTTAGATCCAAAAGGTTATTCTACAAAGGTGTATAAACCAAATGCTATGGCACATAGTCTCAACATAACTAGCAAATGAAAACTGACAGAAAAGATAACAAATCAAATACTTTCAAAAGGTAACACACAACTATTGCGTGATTTCTTATGTGGCTCATTAGATAAGAGAATTGTTCAGGCTGTCAAAAGATCTTTCCATGTTCTGCCCACAAAATGCATTTTTTTTATGTAGCACCTGTTGCGAGGTTTACAGAACACTGGTAAACATGTCATACAACCTTATGAGAAATTGCACACATAACTCTTGTCAAAATATCTGAATGTAGAGAGCATTATTTACATAAAATGTTTATTTGCTACATGTATAAAAGGTCACATTGTTAGGACAGATCAGATTTGCCTTTTTTCCATAATTGATATAACATTAGCATAACATGTTCTGATTCTGTCACATCAAATTTGTCACTGTCTCTTCCAACCTGCCTGGCTTTGATTAGCTAACAACATAGTCCAGCTCAGTAGCATAGCGTTCAAACTGGATACTCAACATTATGTAGGCTTGTCCAACCTCTCAGCAATAACAATGAAAGAATGCATTATTATGTCAAGCATAGTTCAATTAAGCACAATGGAATTGGTACATACTGTGCCACTTTCTGGAAGTAGCCCACCGGAGGAATCACCTGCCCTCCGCAACTCTGCAGTGACTCGGCAATAAAAGCAGCAATCTACACAAAAGAAGACTGTGTGAGACCCCCATACCCTCGCTGTGTAGGACTCTGTGTGGCCCATCTGGTGATGCTCTTATTAAGAGCCATCTGGCTGAGCACAACAGCTAGGAAGGACAATATACAGTATTCAGAAAAGAAGATGGAGTACTTGTATGCAGAAGAGAGAGAAAAAAGACATAAGAATATCAGGGTCCAGGAAATAAGGCCCAAATGCAATTCTCTTCATCCATGAGCTCTACAGTCAAATTCAACTTCCTCGCATCATGAGAAGTCAGGACTTTCTTTCTGAAATGCCAGTGTAAACTGAGCATTCATTTTCATGCAACACAGGATTTAGAACCATTTGGAAAATCCAGAGATGTCCCTGCAAATCAGTGAGACCTTTGTACAACCTGGGAAAAAGAAAAAATGAAACAGATAGAGAAAAGGACAGGTTGAAAATGAAATTAATTTTATGATTATGAACTGGAAAGAGGTCATAGGAAGCCACTGAGAAGAAGCACCTTGCAAAGCACACTCTTAAGAATAAAAGTCCCAAAATGGGTTTGGACACATCTACTCACAGAACGGTTTTCCTTAATTGTAGCCTACAATTATACTCAGATTAGAATAACAGTGAAGATATCAGACTACCAAATATCATATGGCATTATGCACTGACCATAAAAAATCAAAACACTAATTTCAAATTTACATGATTTTCCACTTACTCAAAATGGAGGCGATCAGCTAAGACATATTTGGTATCTAAGTTTTGCTTCTTTAATGTAGAACAGGAGCTGCTAAGCTAATGTTGCTAACAAATGCTGAAAGTAAACAAAACCTTTTCCACAAATACATACAAAATCTTACTCACTTAAAATTACATCAGTAAGTTAAGTAACCTCGTAAAAAAGCTGGGCCGGTAACCTGGAGACTGGTATATAGGGGCATGTTTCTAAAATGTCACTATATAGGCATGTAGTGTTAGCACAGTAATACTTAAGGCTCTTTTACTGTCCGAGAGTTAGAAGTTGCATACTGAATAACGATAAACCTACAAAAATTGAGTGTTGTGTTCCATTTTGCAAAAACAGGACAAAGAAATCTACAGAAAGTCATACTATGTTCTAAATCACATCAACTTGTCTTCACAACCTGAATTGAGTGGGTTGAGAGAAGTTTTGGGCATGTATTTGTGGAAACAGTTTGGGAGACTATTGACATCCACTGTTTGTTAGCAACATTAGCCTTGTAGCTCTAGTTCAAAAGTAAAGAAGTCAAATTTAGAACCAAACATATCTTGGCTAATTAACTATCCAAGACATATTTTGTTCTAAATCATGTAAATTTGATTGTTTACTGATCTATTCCTGTAAAAGCAGCCCATTACACGCTCTCAAGCAGCTTAAAAAAGTTTATATATATATATATATATATATATATATGCTCAGAGTTTGTCATCTGCTGAAAGTAGAAAACATTAATTTACCATTTCCAGTTTAGAAATACGTTCATACACAGGCAAGAACTGAACAACTTTTATTTGTTTAGGTAACAACTGCTCAAGCATTTAAGCAAAACCCTGTAGATAACAATATCGGTAAGATACGTACTTAATCATGTGGTTCCAGACCTTTGACTGATGGATTATATTTAGAGATGTCTATTCTGTATTACTGTTTTCAACATGGTTTGTTTATGATAATTTTCATAATAGGTCAATTTAACAGTTATTTTCTAATATGCATGTTGAACATACCTTACATCCTTTTGCATGAGCTTTCTCAATGATGCCTTTAACGTCATCTGCATAGGCAGTAGCAGGATCTGGATGGTCTTCCCTGTATTTTCCTCTGTAGATATCTGGACTTGGAGCCTGAGAATCACATATTATTTTAAATGTGACAATCAGCTCAGAGGTTTCTAAACTCCCAATTCTGAAAACATCCTCATATTAAAAACACATAAATTATTTGAAAACTATTATAAAGTGCTGTAGCTCTTTTTGGAAAGCAGACCTCAGAAAACTAAATCATTGTTTCAGCTTAATTTAACCATGCTACCCATGTCCATTCAATCAAATAGAGTCAGCATATATGTTAGTTCAGCATAGTTATAATTGCATTCAATATATTAATTTATTATATTAAATATATCAATATATTTTTAGTCAAACAACCCACTTTTTTTATTTTTTTCAGTACTGAGACATCTTTGACACAGGGAGGAACGTGGTGTTCCACTTGATCACCCAAGTTAAGAAACTGGGAATTGTATAGGCCATGCAATATTCAGATAGTGAGCAGTGGAGCAAGATGAACCTGAGACCAACCATCTGACAACCCCAACACATACAGCGTTAAGATTAACCTAACTGCTGTTTGTGGTTTAGCACTCCAGAAAAGGACAGTAATTATCATGACCACACTGTAAACCTGCTGGAGATGCACTTAAATACTAAACATTCCAAAGTTACAGCTGAAATTAAAAGGATGTAACTAGCATGGCTGGAACATTTGGTATGAGTGTACAGTCAGTCTCAATTAAATATTCATTCTGGTAACATATGCGGATTTGGCTTGTTAAGTTGAAACAGTGCTAGATTTCAGTAGCTAGACAGAACTGCTGGGTCTTATGATGACATATTACTAAACAATACTTTCTCAAGGAAGAACAAGGAAAGAGAGACAGAAACAGAAAGAGGGGGGAGAGAGAGAGAGAGAGAGAGAGATGAAGGAAAAAGAGGGGGCTAGAGAGAACAAGAAGAAAGAACGAAGAAGGAGAAAGTTAAATAAAGAAGAAAGAGATGAAACAGAGGAGAGAAGAGAGACAGATGAGACAGAAAAGAGAAACAGAAAAGAGAGAGAGAGAGATAAGGCATAAAGAGAGAAAGAAAGGGGAGAAAGAGAGAGATAAGGCAGAAACAGAGAAAGAAAGGGGGAGAGAGAATAAGAAGAGAGAAAGGAAAAAGAATGAGGAGGGAGAGAGAGAAGGAGGAGAGAGAAGAAGAAGGAGAGAGAGAAACAGGGAAAGAGAGGGCAGATAGAGGAGGGAGAGAGGCAGAATAATGAAAGGTGAGTAGATCAGTGAGTCAGTGAATGGGTGTGGGTGTTGTTCAGTACTCACCACGTGCACGTACTGACTGTGCTCAGACTGTGCCAGCTGGTGAAATTTGTAGGGGCTGATATCGATTAGTGATGACACATGGCCATGATAGGCACTGCAGGAAGAGCACAATGGACATTGTCAAGCACTGAATGCCCAACTTGTAAATAAACAAAGGAACAAACAGTTACTGTGTGAGGCATGTGAGACATCAGAAGTCAGAGGGGGCTTGGAGTCTTTCATGCTGTGATTGTCCATCATTCTGTTACATTTAAGGATGAGTTTGCATCTTATTTGTTTCAATCAAAGCAGCTCATGAGCATATAATCACACCTGCTTCACACCTGGAAAAATATACTTCAAGAAGACTAGTATCCATTTAAAGCCATAAATTATATTTATTTTCTGGCCTTAACAGTTAGAAGTTTTTACTTCTGTTGCCTTTAAATTATGCAGCAAAATATGGTGACGCTTCATTTTAAAGCAACACTATGTAAGATTAGGGGATTTGGAGACCTCTCTGGTGAAATGTGTAATTGCACACAATATATGAAAGAACATTTTGTGACATCGGTTGTGCTTCGGAACCCCACAAGTGGATAAAGCTGACTTTTGCGAGTGTGTTGAAAGAAAATTCAAAGAGAACTTAGTCAAAACTTGTTGAAGGACGTCTTCTGAGGATGTGAGTGAATTATCTGGTCTGAAAAACTCTGTGCCTCTGACTTATAAATGACTATTTCAGTCTTTACAGGGTGACTCACAGCGGCACACATAGACCATATTTTAGTATGTTCTTTTTTTCTCCTGACTCAGTAAAGGTACTTCTTTCAGCTGCTGCTTTTAAAGTCCACTACAAATGCTTTGCAGATGTTTACCATGGCTTTGACCAAAACAGATCCCTACGTCCTTAATAGTATTGCACTATATGGGGGTGAACTGTTTAGTTTGCTAAAAAAGCAGTAAAAATGCATGATTAAAAAAATTTAATTTGGACACTTTCTTATCATCAGCCTGCATTGGTATTCACCACTTGCATAAAAAAAACAACATACATTGCTTGAGCGAGGCTGAAGTTACCTTCTCATTTGTAGGCATACACATGGACTGTAACTGTACAGACCTGCAGTTTTATATATTTGTTTATTTTTTGGCATTATTTCCAATGTTTCTCCCCAATTGGGTCTTTTTTTCATAGTGCTTCTCCAGAAAGTCTGTTAAATTTCATTTTCAGTGGCTTGCAGTTAACACTATCTAACATTCCTCCGTCCGTTGCTTAGTAATAAAAGATCAGTGGTGCAGGTTGGTATACATTCAGCTGATGTGACCTACTGTGTTCACTAGAAATTAGGACTGCATTGTGGGAGACTGTATTGCCCTCAAAATCACTCAGAAATTCGAAATAGCTATTTTATTTAATACTGCCTTAAAAATACACATAGCCCCTGTCTTAGAGTTCAAATTTTCAACAGAATTTGTGCATTAGTGAGAAATAATGACTATAAAATTACAGCATGCTTTCATTTTTGCCAACGACTTCCATGAGTTTAACTGTGTTTGACCTTCCAGAGTGGTTATTGGACATAATACTGCACACTATCAATTCATATCAGTTAGTATGACTAAATATCTGATTGAGTTCGTCTGTAGTCAGCAGCAGACACAAGACACTAGGTAGAGTTAATGTGTAAGCTGATAGCTCAGCGCTTCTATGAACCTGGTTACTCTTTAGGCGTACGTGTAGAGAGAAAACAGACAGAGACGCAGTGTGGTATTGACTTACTTATCCAGCGTGATGATGTCTTTGTGACCAGTGTACTGCCAAGCCAATCTCAAGGCCAGGTCGTTGGCCTCAGAGCTAAAAGTCAAAGGGCAAGAATTAGGTTTAGCTACTGAATCACCATGAAACTGGTTCATATTCGTCTTTCAGTCAGAAGATAGCCGTTTCCTTTCAACAGGGCAACATTAGTTCAGCTGGACTTGGAGCCTGAACTGATCTTTCACTTAAACTCAAGAGATGCACCTGTAAGTTCTTCAAAAGAAGATTTTTATACAGAAACACAGTCATGGTCCTGTGCCAGATGTTTTAAAGCAGTCCAGTCTATAGATAAAGATGCATATACATCTGTCTTTTTAGGAAGAATTTTCTGGTGCAATGGTGAAAGAGCTTAAAGCTCATTCTTTCACACCTGTAGGTGCATCAGTAAAACATAAAAGGGTGACTGTTGATTTATTCTTTTTTCTATATTACCTACTTTTAGATGCTGTGCATTTGTGCTACTCTATAACTAGCTTACTTATCTTACATCATAGCCCTTGCATTAGCAGGCCAGCATGTCACAGATAGGAAGAAGTGTGCAATATGGCAAAATATAAAATCACAATATTTCAAGTCATTTTCACAATAAACAATATGTATCACAATATTTAGTTTTTCTGAGGTTTGATATGTTGGAATAGACAAAAGGAATCCATTCTGGTCATGTAAAGAGTTAACAGTCTGCACTGTATTAAATTTAAGAAGATGAATGATGCCCTATTTGTAGGGAAAATGCAAGTGGTCGGTGTTCTTTAAAAGGCAATTCCACTGATTCTTATTTATTTATTTATTTTTAAAAAGAAACTTACTCAGAATTGTTCATAGTGGTGGTGATATGCCCTTTCCATTGTATTCATGATGAATGGAAGAACAAAAATGCTCCAAAATGACTCAGAAAAAATTACGTTTCTTTAACTTCCATTAAAAATTAAGAAAGTATGTCCTTCTCTTGTAAATTTTGGAGACAATCACGTCAAACCTCTCCGAATGAATTTCTGAATGAATGAATTATGCAGACACTTGGAATTTCCATGATATGTTCAGAAAAGCTTATTGTGATTTATCATGATGATAATAAGTATTGCCATACTGTGCACCCCTGCAGATGAGTGTATTCAGAATGTGACTAACTTTACCTCACCGAATAGTATTTATGCTTATAGTCATAGAAAGTAAAAGGAGCTAAACAGGAGGTGGAATTTCACATTTTGTATTTTGCACATTCAGTTCTAGTGAATTCTACAGAACAAATATATCAGATCATCTTTGAAGACCTCAATCATGTCTGGAGCTGAGCCTACGCTGTTCAGAATATGTCAAAGAGGAACCACTGTTGATTCTCTAATGAGCCTTTTAATTGAGTGGGTTTTAAAGAACTGTAGAATCTAAAGATTCTTTAGGGAACCAAAAGTGGTTCTTCTACAACAATACGTCTGAGAACCTGTTTTGGTGTGAAGTATAGGAGAGTGTAGAAGAAACTCATAACTGGATTCCAGTGAAGTCTTGCATCAGAGAGGACAGGAGCAGCTGCCTGTCCTGCACGTGTTTACATTCCAGGCCATACTACTGGGAGTTGGCTGGAAGCCATAAAGTATGGGTGGGAGACGTGCAGGTGCTCAGCCATTGGCTGTGAGTTAATCCGGTTTGCTCTCATTGCACTGTGAATCTATTTTGTAAAAATCTGTCTGGCCTTTGGATCCCCCTCAGCACATGTAGATGTTCTTGTTAGGAGCTGGCATTTGTATTGTAAATGATTAGCATTTCTGTGTTCAAGGTGAGCTATGAATCTAAAATGCAATTGTTCTTAACTCCCTCAAATCCCAGGTTTATTACATACTATGGGTTATTATTCAGTAACTACATGGACTTCAATGTAAACTGAGTTATTCTTAGGTTACAGAAGTACGTAGTAAAACTTTGGACCTGCCGGTGGGTCCTGGCCATTCAAGGGGTTAAACTATTTCTGTAAATGTATATACTTTGAAGCAGTGGTAATGAAAAAAACTTGCAGGACCAAACTGCAGGTCCTATATGGGCATTTGAGCAAACAAGGTCTGTTTTTTCTCTCTTAGGAACAGCTATCTCAGTCTATGTCTTGGTAATGGATTTTCAAGATGCTGAAGCTTTGCATTCTCATAACATAAACATATGTGCATTCTCACACTCACATGCTGGGTAACTGGACCTACCCAGAGTTCACAAAGTAGCAGACTGAGAGTTTTTCAGGCAGGGTGGCCTGGAGGCGCTGAGCATACTGAACAAGGTTGTCATGCAAGAAGCGTGAGTTGGTATTCAGGAGCTCCATCTGCTTGGCTCCAGCGCTGACAACTTCTGGATGACTGTGTCCCACTGAGAGATGCAAACAACAGATGTCAAAAAGCTTAATACTGAAAGAGTAGAACATAGAGATCAGAGATCACTTCTCCACCTAGAAACATGCCAATTAGACAGCTTGAGGAATTATGCACAGAAATTTAATTTCTGTTTTCACTTGACTAATCAGACAGACACTGACATAATTTTATGTTGATAGAATTACACTATATGGGCACACATATGTAGACACCCCTCCTAATTATTAAGTTCAGGTGTTTCAGCCACACCCATTGCTAACAGGGGTATAGAATCAAGCACAGAGCCATGCAATCTCCATAGACAAACACTGGCAGTAGAACGGGTCACACTGAAGAGCTTAGTGACTTTGAAGGTTGCACTGTTATGGCATGCCACCTTTGCCACAAGTCAGTGTGTGAAATTTCTGCCCTGCTAGATCTGCCCTGGTCAACTGTAAGTGAAATGGGAGCATTGAGGAGCAACAACAGCTCAGCCACGAAGCAACAGACAAAACAAATTCACAGAGCGGACCGCCGAGTGCTGTCCTCTGTTGCATCACTCACTACCAAGTTCCAAACTGCCTCTGAAAGCAACATTAGCACAATAACTGTGCATCAGGAGCTTCATGAAATGAGACAGACCACTTGCACACAGACCTGAAATCACTATGCACAGTACTAAGCGTGAGTGTAAAGCGTGCTACCACTGGATTCTAGATCAGTAGAGGCATGTGTTCACATTTTGGACAGCTACATGCTTCCAACTTTGTGGCAAAAGTTTGAGGAAGGCCCTTTCCTGTTCCAGCATGACTGTGGGTCATTTCACAAAGTGAGCACCATGAAGACACAGTTTAAAGAGTCTGGTGTGGAATTCAGTTGTCTGCACAGAGTCCTGACCTTAACCCCACTGAACACCTTTGGAATGACCTGGAACATTGTTTGCAAGCCAACCCTTCTTGTCCAACATCAGTGTCTGACCTCACAAATGCTCTTTTTTTTGACTGAAAGAGCACAAATTCCCACAGACACACTCCAAAATCTTGTGGAAAGCCTTTGTAAAAGAGTGGAGGCTGTTACAGCTGCAAAGATTGGGAGCAACTCCATAGTAATGCTGGCAACCAAAGGTTTGAAGATACCTTGCATTCTTCTGAATTTTTAACATTTTTTTCAAAATATTTGCTAACATAAAACACGCACTCATTTAAAATAATGAGTGTTACAAATACACTCATTACAAAATTAATACAAATACAAAATTAAGTTAACTTTCCAAAACTACAGATAAAAACAGATCTACACTACAGACTCTGCAGAGTCTTCTGTACTGCATGTCCATCAGTGCATAAATAAAGTTTATCAACCAATTTTTTCCTACACATTGTTTTCTTTTGTTTGTAGGCAAACAGGAGATAAAATACACCATCCAGCAGATCCAGTCAAAGCAGGAGTTTAGCTTAAGAAACTCTCCCACACCGCGTTTAAAACAGGACTGCTGACATAGTGTTAGTGTGCTACAGCTTTCTAGCAGGACCAGCGCAATTTCTGAAATACTTCAAAACATTTAGACTTCCACAAAACAAGATTTCAAGCAATATATATCACCAGTAAGAGCATAAACTAAAAGCACCTGCAGACAGTAATGAGAAAAATGGTCACAGGTCTATACATACACATAGTAAAGACTTCCACTGACCTTTCATATAGTTCATACAGTGGTTTACACTGTAGATTATTCATCCATTTTTTCATTCTGTATGTTTTTGATGGTTTTTCAATAAACATGTGGAAAAAGAATTAATATTATTTAATATTTCTGTTCAGTAACTGAAATGTATTACTTAAAAGCTGAGTTTGTGCTGAGTCAGATGATATAAAACACTTTTAGACAGTGTACTGTATCACAACTTTACAGTTAAAAACAACAAGACAAGTGACAAGGCAGTCACTTAGCTTAGTCCTTAAACGGTTAATAATATGTGCAGTAGCAACTTTAAATGCTGTAATAAATGTCAGGCCTGGGGAACAAACCTAGCCTTTAATAGACGCTGATTTACAGCTCATGGTGTGAGAGGAGTGAAAGAAATTACAGCAGTCAAGGCAACATGTCTGTATTTACCATGAGCGACATTATTGATGCAGTCCAGGTATTGCTCGCCCTTCTCGTTGTACATGTACTGGCCTTTAGCTCGAACAATCTTGATGGGGTCATGGCTGAAAGAAGACCTTGCAGGAGGGTCTACACATGAGAGAGGGAGAGAGAAAGAGAGAGAGAAAGGGAGGGAGAGGGAGTATCAAATCACTATTAAATACCTCAAGTTTTTTAGGAACACCAAAGTTATTATATGATAGGGTGTAATTATTTTTTTTAATCTTCATTTCCTTATGAGTTAACTGCGTAATGTTTTACCACATTTCAAATTTGATGCATGACGGATAGTTTATCTGCATTCAGTGTTTTACAGCTTCGTCAGTCATTAAAGAATCATCTACAGTGAGAGATGCATGACTCAGGATTTTCCGGAGCCGACTCCGACTCTCGACTCCTACTAGTGGAATAAACGGATTCGACTTCTTGACTTCATTAATTTAACTCCTTAATTTTAACCATGAAAGCATTTGTTGATAAAGGGGTCCAGCAGAGAATAAACCATCCTTAACATTTCTGAGTAGCTACAGATTATGGTAATGAAAATGAAGCTTATGTCACATAATGAGGCGGGAAGGGAAACTCAGAATGATGTACTGAGAAAATCATTTCTGTAGTCAGGACTCTTGGAAAAGGCACCAAGTGGATGTTTAGCTTGTTCCTTTATTCACAATGCTTAAGTCTGGTTCGTATTCGCCAGCTTCTTATTCGACTTTTCCGGTCCACCTTAAGTGGCACAGCTTTTACCTGAATGGTGCGCCAGAATGTAACTATGGTGGAACGTAAATTTAAATAAAGAGTAAATCTCAGCTTCATCCTCTTTTCCACAACGCTCTGTGAAAAATATTGTTTGTTTTTGTTTTCCATTTTTGTTCCATGTACCGACTCTGATGACTGGACCCTAATGAAGAACACGAGGAGTCGCCGTGCAGGACGAATCAGAATGGTTTTGTGCGGCTGGTGAGCAGCGCTGTTTAAAGCCGATGATTCACGCTACTCCAACTCAGACTCTGTCCTGTGTTACACACTCCTCCGTCAAAAAGCCCCTCGAGCCAATTACATTGAAAAAATAATAGAGTCGAACAATCGACTCCAAGCATTTTGATTCTTAGGGTCATTGGCCGAGAGTCGACCCCTACTCTCTGAGACGTGTCGGAGTCGAAGAAACGATTCTTTTGGAATCGACTCCCCATCACTATCTACAGTTCTGTTCATCCTTCTGAACACATCTAACATTCCTTCATTTTTACAACTTCCCACTAATTAGTTGAAAATTGTGTAGTCAAATTAGACTCGTGTTTTAACAAAACATATGTTTTGTGAATGTTAGAGTATTTAAGTATTAAAAAGCCTTAAAGTTTGAAATTACACACCGGAAGATCAGACATTAAAGTTTTATATAAAAATTCATAAAATAAATTTACTGTTTAATGTAGATGTAATATGTACGTTTTGTGTGAAACAGAGGTTCAGTTTAGTACAACTGAATGTGTTCTTTCTGAACAGATCATAGCAGTTTTAAAGTGGTTAGGTTTACTATCTCTAACCTCTCCAGAGGACAGTCGTGCTAACACACACAACAATAAATAAAAAGGAGTAAATGGAGCTGACGCTGAATAATATTTCTTACCCAATGTGCTTCTTTCTCAGATCGATGGTTTTCTGTTTACTGAACACTTCCGATGCCATTTGTGCAGCTCTGAGTCTGAGGAGAGCGCAGCAGCTCTGTCTGTCCTCCTGTCACTCACTGTGGCTTCTTTTGGCTGTGCGAAGCTCTACTGGCGCTGCGCGCTCCTCCTTCTCCACCGCCAATCAGCAGGGGGCGCTCCCACCACCCCCACACAAACAAGCGCGCGCGCATGTGAGATCAGGTCTGAGGAATCAGGTGTCCTCAAGATGATGGAAAACGATCTTTTTTGACAGATTTGTCAGATTCTCACAAAGAAAAAATAAATATACGAAATATTAAAAATCAGCTTTGATTTATTGAAAAATAATAATTTATAGATGTTGGTTCCTGGGGATGAGGTTATGGTTTGACGGATGTACAGCACCAAGCTAGTTAGTAATAGACCTACAAGCAAAACAAATATCCCACGAAGACAGTAATACAAAGTTGTGTGTGTGTGTCCATATCTGTGGGGTAGAGCGGAGGGCTGAGTGCCAGGCCAGCACAGAGTTCGTTGAACTTTAAAACTAGAGTTTAATGTGTTATTTGTGTTTGCAGTAATCTGTAGCGCAGCACTGCATCTCAGCCTCATAGGTTTGACAGAATTTTTGATTTTATATTGTTTTCATGCTTTCATGGACCAATGTTTCCTTATTACAATACCCAGCAATGGCCACCCTCTGCTATTTGGCACTGGGGAAAAGCATAACTTCGCTGTAAGGCAAGCACCTGATCTTGACATCAGAGAGGTTCTTCCAAATGTTATAACAGTTCTCTCTCTCTCTCTCTCTCTCTCTATACATATATATATATATATATATATATATATATATATATATATATATATATATATACACACACACACACACACCACACACATATATATATATATATATATATATATATATATATATATATATACAATTCTGCAAAGAAGAGTGGGCCAAAAGTCCTCCACTGCAATGTAAAAGACTCATCACAAGTTATCGCAAATAAATAGACACACATACATTGATTTTTAAAGATATACTATGTAATTGTTTAGATTCATTACCTATGAGTTATCTGCGTAATGTTTTACCACATTTCAAATTTAAGGCAGTTCTAGTAAGTTTGTCTACATTCTCAGTGTTTTACAGCTTTGTCTGTCATTAGGAGTCGTCTACAGCTATTCTGGACACATCTAACATTTATTCTATTATACACTGAAATGCCGATGGTTAAAAACTACGGCCATTTTGTCAAAAATAAATAAATAAATAAATACTTGAACTAGAAAGTAGCGTCGCTGTAACTTAACTTTTAGAGCCGCTGCTGGGTTACTGCCTGCTATAAAGACTCTGGTGCCATAAATGGACCCTCACAGTCAAAGAATTATCTGCTGGTCCTCCTCACAAAACTTTGTCTTTTGTATTAGACAAATCGTGGCTCGCTAAAATAGATAGAACGTGATAGAAAACATGCTGAAGATGAACGGCAGGGCAGTCAGTTTGTTTTACTGTGACCTCAGGCGTCCCCTTCGCCCACTTGGTGACCCTGCATGGTCTCCATCCTGGCTCTCCCTTACGCCTTTTACACCTTGGATTGCCGCCGCCCCTTGAGGGATGCTACTGAGCATGCGCCAGTCTTCACACTGTAGAGGGCGCGTTCACGCTTGCGACTTAACGAGCTAGCTAATTGGCTCGTTTCATTGAGTTTCAGCTGACTCTAGGTGTGGTAGCTAACCTAGCTGATTAGCTTTTAGCTTGCTTCCTCATGTGGCAGGTTAATTCTGCCGTTTGAGTTATTACTCTGCAAACACAGTGACGTTGTGACAGTGTTGTGACAACGTAGATGACCTATTGTTTTGGTGCCCACAACGTTGTCACAAAGTTGAAATGTAATTCCTCAGAAGGTTGTGACAACGTTATCTGACAACATTGTGACAACGTAGTGGCAACGTTGTCAGTAAGTTGCCGCAACCTCCTAGAATCCTCATAAGTTCTTTTATGTTGTGCATGGAACTTCATGGAATTTTGCTAAGTTGCCTACAGGTAGTCATATCGTATGACAAAATTACTGAATAGTGAGGTTGTGACAATGTTGTGACAACCTTGTTCAGACAACGTAAACTGCAGTAACTTTCGACAACATTGTAGCAACGTTGTAAGAAAGTAGACAACATAATGACAGCGTTGTGTGTTTGCTGGGTTGTTCATCCACTGTAATGATGATTTGAAGACAGTTGCTACAGTTATAGGGCTGCAGTAAGATGTTTGGCTTCAGCAACGCTGGCTCTCTGACTTCCTTCTGCACTCACCAGCTTAAAACAAGTGCTTCAGAAAATTACATCCTAAAGCAGTTGTATTTTCTCAGAAAGTTACTCCAGAAAGGAAGGTCTCATTCTAAAAACTACTGCAGCAGCTGTAGTAAATTTTTTTTTGACCTGCTAATCGTCCCGTTAATAGTACAAATTCCTGTCCATTTCGAATCGTCTCATCGTCTCAGGTAAGGAACAAAACCACTGCTGCAAGCATTTGGAGAAAAACAGCTGAATTTATTTGGCTCCAACACTACTGTCACATAAAACGTGTTTGAAATGAAGTGTCTTGAGCCACACTTGATAACAATGCAAAGCAGTTTTCCAGGAAAGGAATAAAAAAAAAAATCAGTCATATAAAATAAAGTAAAACCCATGTAAATAAAGAGAGAGAGAGAGAGATTGTGAAGTGTGTTTTGTCAAAAACACATTTCGTCAGAAAGAAAAAGTGAAAGAGGAAAGTGATGTTGGAATAAGAACACATCCATAAAGCTTGATTCTGCTAAATTATCAGATCCATAACATACTATACCACTGTGTTATGCATCGTTTACAATAACACCATCAACATATCACTATAAACTGTAATTCATTGCAAATGTGTGTTTGTTTCAGGTTTAAACAACTGCTTTTAGTCTACTTCTTTCTCTTTGGAGTTGTAGGACCTAAGTTTAACAAAGAAATGCTGTAACACAGGATAACTAACTTCCTAAAGAAACAAATAAAAAAGTGAATTAAAGATCAGGCAAAAAGTCCTGGACAATTCAAAAGTAATAGTTTATGAAAAAGTGGAATTTTCAAAACATTCTGACACTTTTAAACAAAACAATAACAACAAAAAAATGTAACTTCATACAGCACCAATGATGAAAGTACAGAAAATAGTTTATTGAAAGAAAATTAGTTTAAAAGATGCATTTGGCTCTCATGCACTTGAAATGAAATGACCTAAGTAACAGCTCGACGAAACAGGATCGTTTCAGTAAGTGTAAAAACAATAAATGGAGACACACTTTAATACATATCAGAAAATATTTAATTAATGATGGCTTGATAACGAAAGCCTGAAAAACAAATGTCAAAACTATGTAGTCTATATGTATGAACTCTGAGCCTCGTTCATGCCCATACCATACTTTATTAAAAACAGAGGAATCACCAGTGCCAATGTAAAAGTGATTAAAATATTATTATAACTTACAATAAATGTGTGTAATTGACATTGACGCGCATTTGTATACTGAATATGGTTCACAAATCATTACATACAAGAGAAGTATAAATTGCACTTTTTGTCAAATGAGCAAATATTTAACTGCACACGCATTGTCCACTATACATATATTAATCTACATTCAATGTAACAAGGATTATGAAGGTGGCAGGGCTATATTACATCTAGCGTGTGGTATATTCTTGCTTATCAATCCAGTTTTGATGTGAAGAGTAACAGCGTGACCAGAACGGCTGTCTAACACAATTAACTGTGATTAAGTGGCCTAATGTTAACGTAAACTGTGGAGTATGGTGTAATGTAACAATGTTAAAAAGTGGAGATTGGACAAAAAAGTATCCTTAATACTCATCCTTAGCTGGCATTACTTTTCAGTGCAGAACTCCACCATACATGTATAATACTGAAAGGTATAAAGACCTTCAAAGCTACCCCAAATTACAATACAAGGAATGCCTCTTTTGACAGCAATATGCTTAAGTATAAAATTAACGCTGCATTACTTAAAAGTATAAAAGCAAATGCAGATTTTTTCGGTTAATACAGACTGTATATACAAACAAAACAAAAACAACCAAGCTGCCTCATGGCTGCTTCAGAAAATGAAATGCCCGAAAGAGCCCCCACAAAGCTATTCCAATAAACAATCTTAGATTCCGCTCAGTCAAAGGCAGTTTAGGCTGAGATGAAGCTCTCAGGTTTGTTGACTGAGTCTGGAGATCTGTTTCTGTCGATAGTCTCCTTTCGCCTTTCGCTCCATCTTTTCAAAAGATATATGTAGTTTAAACGACTGAAATGTCACCAAAAGACTAATACTAAATGACCAGGTCGTTCCAAATGGCTCTGGAATGTCACAGCACTCACTGTTATCTGTTGCACATAACGTTGCTGGTAGACAACGTTAATTTGGACAAAGAAGCTTTCTATGCTGTTTGTGTTTGATAGGAAATATTTACATGAGCCTACATGGCACACAATGTAAAATGGTTTGAAGCAAATAATAAAGAACCAGAAGCACCTTCTTGAATGGAATTTGGAGAGACATTATCATTACTGCTAGCTTCAGCACAGAGGTGTGCATTCCTTGAGAGGCAAAACGACCCTGTAAGCAACTCTGACTTCTTTTTGAAGCCCTAGAAAGAATATAGCACTTCAAAAACAAAGAAACTCTTCTATTTCAGTGCCCTCAACTGCTCTTGCAGTATGAACAGTATGCATTACAGTCGTTGCAGTTTTGTACTCCATTATGAAACATTTCCACAAGTCAAAGCACAAAATGTAAAGTTTTACAGTAAGGGAATGAATAATAAGAGGCTTGAGGCACCAAAGGCTATAGTAAAATAAATCAAATCATCAACAAAAGTTAAAAAAAAAGTTTAAAGAAATGTAATCCTGTTGTTCTCAGTAGATCAGTAGCCTCTTGCTACAGCCTGTAGCATTTCCGATGGTTGTAGAAAACTCTTCCCACTTGTCACACCCACTCCAAGGAACCGTGAGGTCCAAGCAAGTGCATTTGGGCCGATCTGTCCACTTTAGTCATGATTGTACTGAAGACCAGTGCAGCAGCTGCCCCTTTTTTCTGCTCACTCTATGATCAAAGTCCACTGGTGGTCATTCACCAGTTGAGTCACCCAAGTGAAGTACAGAGGCGCTGCAAAGGCCAGGTCAGAAACTGACCTCCTTACAATAAAGCAAACCAACAATTGCTTTTTCTACTTCGAGATAAATCACTTCTCAGGCCACCAACCAAGGTGTGACTCCCTTTAGAAGATGACAAAAAAAGCAAAGTAAAACTTTAGGGACGAAAATTTGTTATAATACAATGTGAGGGAAAGAAAAATACAAAAACCGACAGCCAGTTAGTGTTTTGCAGAAGCCATACCAGTTTTGACCACACCGCCAGGTGATATGTATACACATTCATGCTTATTTTGGCTCATGGAGACAGTCCTTAGTCTTTTAAGCTTGGTAGTACAGCATGATGATGAGTGATGAGTTTTCAGATATCTACAGCTAGCTTCCAATGTTGCCAACCAGTCCTCATCTCTTCATCGCCTCCTTCTCCTCCGCACCCCTTTAGTCCATTTCGGTAGCCACTCTTATTCCGAGGACCATGCACAGCTGCCCTCATGTGCAAGAGTTTATTAGCTGGTGAAGTTTATGAACTCCACTATTACTTGTATGAACGTGACACACACTGCCATGACCGCACAAGGGTGAGTGGAAGCAGCTGTGTGTGAGTCTGATGAGATTTGTGTTTTTTCCTTCAATGTACACACACATTTATATTCATATTCATTTATATTTATATTCTTTTCCACAATTAAAAAAAAAAAACTATAAATACAAAAATGAAGCATTATTTACAAATTCCATGCGGTTTGAGTTAGACTGATCACTGTAAGAGAAACATAAAGGGGTACTGTAAGATAACATACGGATACACAGAGAGGTTCACAGCTAACACAACATAAAGCATTAGCCACCACACAGTGTTACTTGATGTGCATGTAGAATGTAAACCTCATGCAGGACATCATACCGCTTCTGAGGTGTTTGAAAACAGTATTTTAACATAGACAACATCTAATTTTACTTACCTTTTGCCAGCAGCCAGGCATTGGTAGTCCATCTGGACCCTGTTGTGGAGGACAAGTGAAAATAGAAAAGTTAGCACTTCTTTGATCAGACTATTTTAAACCAGTAGGGGATGTCCACTACATTTATGGGTTATTCCACTTCACCATGGGCCTGGTCTGGCATCTCGTTAATTTCCAAGAAAAAAATTTACACAAACATGGAAAACACTGTGCTCCAAACAGTTTTCAGGCATGGAATTTTTTAGCGTCGAAACTGAATCGTTTTTTTTTGGTTAGTTTTTTTTTTTTGGGTTTAGGTTTTATGTAGCATTCCTACATTTCCTACGTATACAAATTATTTGTTGGATAGCACTATGAGGGATTCTCTGCATAAGATGAATATCAATACAAGAATACATTATATGTCAAAAGAGATATACAGTCCCAGAAGAATTATAAAGCTGAATTTAAAGCAAAATTTGAGGATCCAGTGTTTTTGTATGTACTAGTAATACATTTCTTCATATTGTGATTGTTAATCAGATACCTCATGTTAACAAAACTAAATGAATAAATAAATAAATAAATAAATAAACTGTAATTTTTTGTAATTTTTTCCCTTTTGGGAACATCAAAGTAAAAAAAAGTCCTCAAACATGGATTTCAGTTGTAAAGTCATTATAAAGTCAAATTATAGCTTAAAATATTGCATGAAAAAACAAATGTCATAAAAATACTTGATGCAAGTGTAGGAATACATGATCCCTAAATTTTACAAAAACAATTTGGAAAACTGACTGAAAGATTAACAAAGATTATAAGCTCTGACATAAAAGTACAAATTCCAGAAAATTAGCCCATTGTGGGAATTGAAACATTATTGTTAATAATAAACTAGTTGATTTTAAATTAAATATTATTCTTGTGTTATTCTGTTTTTCTGTTCCATCCTCAATGAAATTATATATTAAACATTCAAGAAGTGTTTGAGGCAAACCTTACAAATTTCTAAATAAAAAACTTTTGTAGCACAGTTTTAATATGTAACATAGTTGCATAAGTTAAAGAGAAGTTTTGCATGATTTTTTTTCCATGATGTGCTCTGCCAAGCGCCCGATAAGCTGGTATGGAATAACCCTTATGTCTGTTAGTCTTTTCAGAGTACTTTTTAAAACATTACTTATTAACTACAAGAGGCCCAGAAGACCCCAAAATACTGACTTGCAAATATGTCAAATGTTATGTTACTGAGTGTGATAATGAAGTCAGTCAAAGGTGCATGCGATGACACTGAACACGTTTTACAAATAAAACATACCATACACTGATAAATTCATTCATGTCAAACCAAACCATTGTAATGGTAAAATATGACGTAGCTTATTTCCTCAGATATACAATAATAAAGAATTTTAATGATATAATGTATATAATTGTGAAAATGGACATGCATAGACAATATTTGAAGGGTTTCATTCCAAAATGCATTATAGTCCACTTTCATGAATTTTCATGATTTGCATAGTTGGGAGTGGGCTTTAAATATACAAGACAAATCAATGCTATTTTAATATTAATACCACCTTTATGAGCAAAAAAAAAAATGTGTTGTCTACTATACCTCATTACACATGTAATTGTTTTCAAAAACTGGTTATAAAAAAATGATAAATGCCATTTTGGAATGAAACTCTTCATTTATAAAATATCTCAATTTTCTGAACATCTCTATTCATGCAGATTTAAGAAATGCAAAAAATCAACATTTGGCATCCAAGTCAAAAATCATGTTTAACAGTAAAATGTAACCAACTACACAAAGATATTAAGATAAGGATGTAAAAAAGTAGCACATACTACTTAACTGTTTTAACAGATACTTCAGTATAAAGAGTGTTGATGAAATCTTTAATCATATTAATTAAAGAGACAGTGAGTTATTACTGGAGACATCAAGTACTGACTCAAAAAGAGTTAAACTACTTAAAAATTATGACTGAGGAGCCAAAATATGAATATGCTCTCAGTTCAGCCATCAAGTGCCCAATTGGAACAGGTAGGGAATAAGTAGGATAGGAATAGGTTGACAGACTAAAGTGTGAAAGGGAAGACACTAAGAGACCTGTAACATATAGCTTCATAGCATGGAAAACAGGTTAGTTAGTGTTGGTTATGGAACCTGGAAAGACATTCCAGCAAAATTAATTTACTTGAATTTTCACTTGGAAGACTGAAGGAAGGAGTCACAGTTAGGTAAAACGTTAATTCTTAGGGAGTTGATCTTGATGTTTAGCTAACGAGATAATAACAAGTATAGTTTGCATATTCAGTTAGTGGGATGTAGAAGGGTCATTACTGCTGTCAGCTTGAGTTCTGCTATAGTACTAAATGACAGCTTGTGGGTACATGTAAGAAAGCAAGTTAGAGGAATACTTCAGCTTTTTAAAACCTAATCTCTATCTGCCCCATCTGTTGTGTATGATTGATTACCATGGTCACTTGGACGTGTTTCTTTGTACTAAGTAAAAGAGCAGAAAATGGCCTCCTTCAACAGGCAGCTGTGGAAACTGTTATAGAACAGGTTTTCTGTTCTTTTCTAAGAACAGGTCGTTATTGTCCATGGTAATCAACAGATGCTGCAGGTAAAAATTACACTGAATCTGGTGAGCTGGATATGCAGGACAGGTGTCCGGTGGCTGAGTAATGGAGCAGTTTACCCATTCATAAGCCATGCATGGATGTTTGAGTGTAGGCTGGCAGCCGGGCACTGTGCCATGACTGCATTTGGCAGCTACGCTGTGGTGGGGGATGGAGACATGCACAGGAGAGGATAGGAAAAGAGGATACTGTACCAATTGGCACGGGGCATCCAACCCATCCAGACCAGGCTGGCCTGGCTCGCCCTTTTCACCCTTAAAGCCCCGGAAACCCTGTGTCATAGAAATGGAACTGGGAGTGTTACTGGGATAGAGGCTGCAGGCGCCCTTCCGGCCTCTCACTGCGAGGGCACGGCACAGGGCAGAGAAGAGTGACCCGGCTGGTGACTGGCAACCGCCAACCACAGCTGCATTTACATCTCAAATGTGGAATAAGGCATTTTGCTTAACTGAATATTGTGGTATACGATATGGAAAGCAAGACACCACCAGGGATTACAGCACACCGTGCTTTCAGATGGTGAATTGTTAGGTAGATTTGGGTTGCCAGATTGTCCAGTGGGTCACTCCTCCCTGAGGGATCCTCTGTCTTACGTCACTGGGAGGTTTCCAACCCTCAGCTGGAACATACCAATGGGCAAGGTGCATCTAATCCTGGGGCACCCTGTTCTCCTTTCTCCCCCTTAGGCCCTTTTTTGCCCTTCTTTCCCTTCTCCCCCTGTGGACACAATGGTGTGATCAGCTGGAGAATTTTTTTCATGACAGTAAATGAGCATATTTTTAAACCAGTGAAGGTGACAATCTAGTTCTTTCATGTATGTAAATTATTCTGTCCTTTGCTTTTCTCTGAAGGACTACTGTTGAAAAGTGAAGAATCAAACAACAGTACATGGACAGTAAATGAAGCACATTGACAGTGAGGGGAAACAAGTGTTCAGGCGCTTTTATTTTTGTTATTTAATACTCTTCCAGTGCGTATATTGACTACATAATTACACACTAAATGCCTTTTGACTTTTGATAAATATGAACAAAAAGTGTGTATAAAATGAAATTGATAGGAAAAATAAGTACTCAGACACCACAAATTAATATTAGTATTTTTTTTTTGCAAAGCCATTGTTGCCCATTACAGATTTGAGATGTCTACAGTAAGAATAATTAGCCTTTTGCAGCTTTGTACTTTAATTTTGGCCCATTCTTCTTGGCATTCTTCAGTATGAGGGTCTTTCTGATGGAGTCGTAATTTCAAAATTCTCCATGCATTTTCAATGGGTGTCAAGTCAGGAGACTGGCTAGGCCACGCAAGCACTTTTACCTTTGTTTTTTAAAAAACAAAAAAAACAAAACTGTTGAGTAGACAAAAAACAAAAGTGTTGAGTAGAGATGGAACATTTGATCAGCTACGTATTGGTATCGGCCGATTTTCAGCCCAAATATGCGATCGGCCAATACTTCTCTAACATAGCCGATCCTCAGAGCTGATCAGTGATGTAAAACATATGAGTCATATTTAAAAATTGCTGCAGGTCTGCGCAAGGCAGCTTGCTCAAAGAACCTTGCAGTTCCTTGTTCAAACGCTAGATGGAAATACAGATCTTTTGTCTTTTGACTACAGGACTAAATTACTATTCACACCAAGTCCGATTTTTATGGACGAAAAAACACACATCAACTTTTGAAAATGAAGACACATATATTAATGCCGTCTTTTGCACTGAGTCTGAAACTGTTGGACTGTGATGGCGTGTAACTTTTTAATTGGAGCCTTCTCGATTTTCTGCACTGTACGGATGCGTTAAATAAGGCTCTGTTATCATGGTTGCAGCCCAAACAAATGTGTGTCAGGATGGCAGCAGAACTCCTGTATCACAAAAGCTTGTACCAGCAAATGCTGTCTAAAAATGAAGACATTAAAGACAATATATAGCGGATGAGAGCTGAAGGGCTATGAACGATGGTGAGTACGTTACAGCGGATTTATTTAACCGTAACGTTAGTTCATTTGCTCCTTTTTAATCAGGAGCAACAAGCAGAAGCAGAGCCATGAAGTCCTCCACTCACCTGCATAATCGCTCGTTACGCAGCTTCAGTTAATAAGTAATGTTTTCTGACTTGATGTGAAGGTCCCACTATATTAAAATCATATCAATTTTTTTCATCCGAAAAAATCATACTTGGTCCCCTCGATCGGAATCGACTATCGGCTGACTGTGCTAAAAGGCGATCGGTATCGGTCCCAAAACCCGGGATTGGTTCGTCTCTAGTCTTGAGTTATTTTGGCTTTGTTTGGTTTCGCTGTCTTGTTGAAATGTCCATCTTCTCCCCAGATTCAGTTTCTTGGATGCTGAGATTAAATTGTCCTCTAATTTGTTCTGGTGCATTGCCCCATTCTTTCGATAAAGTGTAATGCCCACGTACTGTTTACAGAGAAGTAGCCACATATTTTGATGCTCCCATCTCTGTACTTCACTGCAGGTATGGTGTTGTTGGGATCATATGCACAGCCCTTCTTTGTCTGTAAATTGGAAGTGGATATAGGTACTGGAAGTATATTAAATAACAAAAACAAAACTGTCAATACATTTTTCCCCTCACTATATGGAAAGGTTTTAGATAAGCTTGTAAAAAGGAAGTCACACACAATCAGTCCACATTGATCTCTGAAAGGGAACATTAGGACAACAGGGGATAATTAAAGAAGGGCTTTAATCCAGTAAAGGGTAGGACAGGATCAGTTAGATAGGGACAGGATATCATCAAGAAGGAACGATGGAGTCTTGAACAGATGAAGGGAGAAGGAATGATAAGAGTCTTAGAGGGCACAAAGGAAGAGAAAGGAAAAAACCCAGAAGTCCCAAAGAGAACTTTCACCCAGTCTACCACTAAAATCACACAGTAAAAAACTGTATCCCTTTCTCAACATCCTTGGCAACATGTGAGGGGTGGTGTATCTCTGTCTAAACCCACATGATTACAAAAGACTATACAAAGAGAACATTGAACCTAACCTGCTCTGTATCCCTATTTATAGATAATGGGACAGTAATTATTCTGGACTCTACTTGTTTTGGCCTAAATGACAAAACTTAATGAAGAAAAGATGAATATGGAGACTGATTGACTCATGACTTAAATGCATGTGGAAATTTTGGCAGTTTTGAAAAACTCTAAGGGGACATGATGTCATAGATGTTTAGATCACTGTGTGTAATTGTCTCTAAGGAAAGGAAGGGATACAGTTTTCTTGAAAATGAAGGGATGGACATAAAGCAGGCAGCGTACTGCATGATTACACACAAGCAGCAGTAATCTAAAGATGGCCTTCTCTACACATTGTCATGGAATTTGACGTGAGTGCAAAGAAGGGTCAGCTTTAAAGAATGTGATGCTTGCTTTAATTAATGTAATAAAAGGTCCATTTAATAATACTGGTAAATTTAAGCTGGCAGAAAAGGAAACATGCAGTATAAAACTGATTAATTAGAGCATGTAATTTGAAATTACAGTGAGAAGCACAATTTTATGTAAGATTTCCTGTTTGTTCTGGGCAGACTGAATAATTTCCATGACATTCTAAAATGTGTAAAGTTGTCCAGTGTTAAACAGTTGATTAGAATCTTAGCTAAAGGTAGTTCAGCAGTGAAATAGCAGCATGCATGGGAGAAGAAACTACATAAATGCAGGTTCATGTTTCAGCAGCAACTGCCTGCTGTCAATGGACTATCTCTGCAGTACTTGTTGGTTTAAGACTAAATCAAATGTGTGATGATCTTTTTTTTTGTTTTTCAAACTGGATTGAATGGTTATGGAGTGATAAAATGAAGTGCAAACGAAAATGCTGAATGATGACAGTGTGTTATAATTAAATTTGAAGGTGAATAGGAAAACAAGGTTATTGCGTTGTTAATTTTAATGTCTTTGAGTGGAGAATAACAGAAATAGACATTGCATTGCAAACGCAATTCACAATGCACAAAAATAATAATGTAGAATGTGTGCTAATATGCAAATTTGTGACCAATATAGGGTTCTGTCCCTAAGGTAAGCTTCCGTGGTCCATTGACACCAGATCATCTAATTAAGAGGTTGTTGGAAAGGTTCCCTATGTAATGGTCACCTTTTCTCCTCTTTCCCCCACGTCGCCTTTCTCTCCCCTTAAGCCTGGTAACCCCTGCAAAATACAACTTCAGATAATTACACATGCCTACAGACCTAACTACTGAGGGCTGCATAACTTCAGTGACAAATAGAGTTGCTACAAAACACAAGCAGAAACCCAGGGCACAGTAAATGACTTCTCAACAGAAGGCGGATTTGCTATTTTTTATTTTTTATTTTTTTCAACTCACATCCAGCCCAGGTGTCCCAGCAGCACCCTGCAGGGAAAAATAGGTTAAAATTAAAAATTTCCAAAACATTCCCTGCTTGTTAGATTACCTTACATAAGCTATGATTTTTACTTTTATGAATGGCATAATAATGTTTCTTTTTACAGCAGGAGTATTTACTGACAAATGAAATGAATTTGCTTACCGGTAGTCCATACGGTCCTCTTGGCCCAGGCTCACCTGTAGCGCCTTTCTCACCCTGTGACAGATACATTTCCCATTAAACTAACTAATAAAATTACTATTTAAAAAAAAAATCCCCTTTACATAGACACAAACACCCCCCACTCATTTAAAAATTGTGATTTTCTGAATCTGTTTCTGCTGGACACATTTAATATCACAATATCCATCTCTTCACAAAGCATAATGTTTAGTAACTGGCAAATTGACAACTATGCAGTTCCAAAAAAATATATTAGGACATTTATTATTATGTATTATGTGTTATTACTTTGTATTCCTTACTGCTTACCCACATATGTTTACAGATGAAAACAAAGTGTGCAGTTCTCTTAAATAGTAATATAGAAGAGTAATATGGCACAACTGGCATATGATGTGGCCCTGGATATCTACTGAGCTTGATCTCCCGAATTCATGATAGAGGTGAAAATTGACTAGCTTTCTGTTCACTGTATGTCCCTCATCTTCCTCCTCATGCTTGACGTACTACAGGCAGTTTCACATGTTTGTGAAAGCGAGAGGAACAGTTACAATAGGGATAGACATAACAGGTATAATAAATCTTTTAGCTCCACACTTAAGTCACATTCTGAGCAAAGGTCTAGATTTAGGCCAGTGTTTACAATTACTTTCATGGAATGCTTTCTTGAGGCGCTTTGTTTTACATTTTTACAAAGGCTTATCAAACTTACTCTGTCTCCTTTAGGACCAGCAGGGCCAGGGGCACCAATTGGGCCATCCATACCCTACAAACAGAAGTGCAGAAGTCATTGTATTAATTGCTTAAATCATTTACACAATTACTGAGAACAAGGATGCTACCATGGATCTGCCCAGTCCACTGGCCAGAGAGTATACAGAGCTTCAGCAAAATTTGCTGTCTTCCAAAACCGTGCTGAGGGTAATTATACACTTTCTTTGTTGATCAAACCTGACCGCATGGTCTTCACATTTGCATAAATCAACCACAAAGGAATATACTCATGCATATGTCAGTCACAAAGGAACAGTGATAATGATAAATGGCAATATGTTAATAGATGAGTGGGTGTTAATTCTATGTTAATTTCACACTCATCAGCAGACAGACAGCGATCTGGAGTGGCCTTAAGGCCTTTTATTAAAAGAAATGTCTTTAATTGAACAATAGCATTGAAATGGTTGTATTTTTGTTGTCCCCCACCAAAATACTTTGTTGCTCAAGTCATTTTTATGGCCCAGTTTGTCTTTCGTAAAGCTATGGAGAGATGCCTGCTGGGGGATGAAGCTCGTTCATGTGAGACTCACCCTTAATCCCGGCTTGCCGTCCAAGCCAGACGCTCCCTGTGCATTTATGAAAGTATGAGTGACATGAAGAGGGGGATTAGTACATGATGAACACAGTGAGACGGACAAAAAAAACTGCCAACTGAGTTGTTAACACAGAGTCAGAAAAGAAATAAATGGACACAACACAATCATATAAAGTGGGCAGGGACAGGACAGCAGGCAGGATGGATGGCAAGAGAGAAAACTAAGGATATGTGATCATTAGAGAGATGCTTCAGCCAAAAAGGAAACTTTCTCCTTATAGTCCTAAATGTGTGCAAATTTGCTTTAAAAATGCTTTCTAGTACAGATTACTGATTATCTGTTATTACTAAAAATCAGGACAAATTTTGGACAAAGCTTGGACGTCCGTCGCCCAGATTGAGATACTTATAGAGATGCAGCACCATATGTAACGCGGCAGGGGACAAACTATTCCTTTTCACATCTGTTAATTTGCACCACTGGGCATTTTGCAAACTGCATGCCTAAAACATCATTTACGTGGCTCAAACCATGGGAGATGTTAAGTAATCTTAAATATTTGTTTATGCAGTTGCTAATGCTGTATGAAATAGTTATCTACAAATATGGACAATATAGGACAGATAGGAGGTGAGAACGGAAAGTTAGAAGTGATTCAGATGATGAAACACTGATATATTTCAATAATTAAATATTGGACTTATACTATTTTATGAAGCTGTTTTTTAAATTATTCTAATTAGCCAAACAATACATTTTGAGGCAAGTGTGTTGATTTAGGCTGTTTGCATGTTTCTAGCTAGATAAGTTACTGTTACTTGGTAGCTACATTAGCCTCATAGCTCTGGTGCAAAACAAAAGGTGTGTAAACCTGATTTCTGCATGAACTATCCCTTTATAACTGAAACACCATATGATTGGGGGAGGAAATGGAACAAAAAAGGAGCTAAGAGATGTTAAAAGGTTGCAAGGGTTAGACCTGAGCACTGAGATCCAAGACGCATGGCTGTGATTTAGGCTACTTACAGGGAGACCCATGGGTCCTCGGTCACCCTTGTGGCCCGGCTCCCCCCGTGCGCCTTTCAGACCATGTAAACCTGGCTCCCCCTAAATGCAGTGGAGCGGCAGCAGTTAGTTTAGGGGAAGAAGCACTATCTCTGTGGAACTAGCACTACAGTGTGGTTAGCACACTAGCATTATGTCTGTGGACAGTGCTATCATTAGTCATGTAGTGCTCTTTGTAGTAAGGTTAACCTTAGAATTGCAGTTTATTGGTATTCCATAGGAAAAGATGACTTCTGGAAATTCAGTTATAATTTATTCACTGTTCATTAATAAGGTTAGAGGAGACCTGGGTATTTATATTTTAAACATTTACTTAAGGACTTACCTTTGGTCCAGGGAATCCATGTGGGCCCTGAAAAGCATGAACAAGTTATGCATTAATGCTCTGTATGTCGTTATCTGTCTTTCGGTTTGAGGCTGTATGACATGACAGTATAAAGTGTATTGCAGGGATCAGCCATTCTTGAGGGCTGGTGTCAGGCACAGTTTAATGTTCTTCTGCTAAAGCAAATCTCCCAAAACTAGTATACCCACCAGCGCTCTCTAAGACCGAGACAAACCCTTATCACCCCTGCTGTAGAGAGTTAGAAAACATGTTGCTGTGTATGAGAAATCATATACAGTTTGTTATCTAATCTGCACATTCTCAGTAGTTGACTTTTACAGTACTTCCTGATATAGTTTATGTTGGCAGGCACAGTCAACAAATAAGATCTTTATAATGAAAAGTAGAGATGTACGATAATATCGGCATCGGCAAATACCAATATCAATTTCCATATCTGTGATAATAAATAAATCCAACCTAAGTTCCTATAATGTCAACAGTATTGTTTTTTAAAAACTGTGATACAGAACTTCACCAAGCCATGTAATTACTCCCTGTGACTTATCTCTGTATATTAATCAGGTAACCCAAATTGAACAAAAATGTAATATGAAAATATATGTTATTTAATAATGAATGTTTTCATAAATTGAGGTGGCAATATTGTCATTTAAACTCACCATTGGACCAGGTGGGCCATGTGGCCCAGGTGCTCCAGGTGGGCCTATAATCTGTTATTTAAAAAAATATATATACAAATGATCAAATTTTGTTGATGATGCAGTCATGCTTTCAGCTGGTGATTGTGCACTTTGATGTTTGCTGTACTTACAGATGGTCCTTGAGGTCCAGGCATACCAGAATCACCTTTTTCTCCTTTCATACCATTAACACCCTACATACACATAATCACAAAATGAGTGATCGTGCTTTAATAACTCAGTAGATCTTTATACCCTTTTCAGGACCTGGTATTACTGAAACTGATATAAAATCTGATAAACATATCATATGTGAATCAGACTGTTCCTTACTGGTAGCCCAGGCAATCCTACTGCTCCTTTATCACCAGCTATTCCAGGCATGCCCATGTCTCCTTTTGAACCTTTGTAACCCTGAGAACAGTGTACAGTTATTATGATATGCCACAGAAGTTTTACACATAACACAATAAGTTGCCCTGAAGGAATGGAAAAAAATCAATATTTTCCTACCCTCTCTCCATCAAGGCCTGGAAGACCTGGAGGACCTTGATCACCCTTTGAAAAGGATGTACGGTATATAGGTTACGATCATTTTGATTATAAATTTGTGCTTGATACCTACTGCAAACAGCTGAATAGACAACAGCCTGAGCACTGGCTTGCAAATTATTAGCTGAACTTGAAGAAGCTGTTCTTTGTGTAGGTAGAATGATGTTTTAAATAAATAACTAACACCCCATGATGCAGATTAGTTAATTATCTTGGTGGTTCAGAATTTGTTTTATTGAAAACGGACGGTCCATTACATCTAATCACACTGGCTTCTCTCTGGCTAGATCTGTTTATGAGCCAATAGTGAACTCTGAATGTGCTGAATGTTACTGGTACCTTGATGCCTTGTGGTCCAACTGGTCCAGGAGGCCCAGGGGGACCCTAAGTGAACAAAAGGCAAAACCATTATATACAAATTGTGAGAGTGACACAATGTCTGCCAATCATAGTCAAGAGACAAAATAGCACACTGATATAGATACTGGGGTTTATGTCTTTAGGTTAAATAAGTATTCACATGAAATATTCAATTTTAAAGCATGCTTCACATCATTTTCCACTGACAATGAAATGCGCTGAATTAGTAACATAGCGTGATTTCCAACATAAATAAAAAAATATGGTTGACTGAGCGTATTGAATCTCACATCTCACATCATAAATGGTAACCCTCTTCATCATGTAACTGTTTAAACAAGGGCCCCATTCTATGTAGCTGGTTTATATATATTAAGCTTTTTTTCAATTTAGGCAAGTTTTTATTAAGAGTGGTCTGGTGAACAATCAAATGTACACAATTTTCCATTTGGCTGAGATGCAGTCAATCAGCTAAGACATATTAGCTAAAATTATTATTAGCTTCTTTAGTTTAGCAAGTCAATAGTCACCAAAATCTTTTCGGTAAAATACAACCCCAAAACATCTCTGAACCCTCTCAAACAGAATCCAGGTCTTCATTAAAGTCATGCAAACTTGTTGATGTGGTTTAGCACATCATATGACTTACTGGATACTATAAAAATGAACAAAATTTCAGTTAGTGAAATTTTTGATGCCATGCAAGCTAAACCAACATAAAATGCCATTATGTAGCAATTTTTTCTGGGTAAGTTACCCACTGTTATTTATTACAATTTTAATTTTTCCTTTTTTTTAAATGAAATTTTCATTTTAAAAAAGGATTCCAGGAATGTTATAGGTCTGAATTTTCCTTTTTCTATTGCTCAGTTGCAGACGGTAAACAGTGCCTAAGTGTATCATTTTCATATCTTTAAACACATCTGGTGCAACAGCTGTGCCAAGCTGTGACTGTGTTAGGCCATCCAGGGTGATTCTGCTTTCAAGATTCTGTATGCAGGAAAAGGAGGAAACCTTGAAAGTTGGCACTGGACAGCACATTTACGAACAGCAGCAATTTACTACAGCTTTGCAAAGGGCAGGAACTAGAAGAGTTACAATGTAGCAGAGCAGAGCCAGGATGGGAGACCACATCAGATCATAGTAACATCACAGTGATGGTCTAGTGTGCAATACACATCCCAGTATAGCTTTTGTAATGAGCTGTGATCTGCAGGCTGGGTAATTTGTCACAGTCTGGATAATTGAACACACTTAAGTGGTTCTTTCTTTAGCATGAACAATGTTCTCCACATCTTCTTCTATGCCAATGCTACAGTATGAGCGTTGGAAGAACAACAGCTGTGCTACTTACTAAGAAAAACAAAAAAACTGAAAATTCTTTCCGTCTTGGGTGAGTCTAAGAAGGTTGTTTTAAACTTGTACAACCTAATTTCAATATTTAGTTCCTTTTTTTGAAAGGAATATAACTGAGTTGAGCAAAACAGAATGCAGGTACTGTGGCTTTATCTACTTCAGTACTGAACTTATGTACTTCAGAGCATCTACTCTCACCAAGGATGACAGATGAGAGAAGCTTGAACCTAATGAAATTAAGTGAAATGAAAAAGCATTTCTTCTTTCAAGACTATGCATTGTCTCCATGTCAGAGAGCTGAATTTTGTACATCCCATGCATACAGATGCCATATGAGGTTTAAAACCTGACTGGAAGTATGTTTAAGGTTGTGTGCAGCTTTTTCCAGTGTTAGCAGTGTTTTTAGTCTACTTCTACTGGCTATAAGAAACTGACTGGTATTTTAGCTGACCAGTAATATTGGCTGACCAGGAATATTGGCCAATACTGAGGTTCCTTGAACCTACCAGTATTGACACATACCCTGCTGATAAACACCAATATTTAAAGGCTTGTTTTACATGATAAAAATATCATTAACATGACAAATTTACATTAAAAAAAAATTATGTTTTAACACATTTTGTTCATAACATGTTAAACACATCATGTGTTAAATCACATTACAAACTGCTGGTTATGTCCTTGGCAAAGTCTCAATGCACAACTAACATTTTTAAATTAAATTAGCTAGTGAAAAAAATTTTGGAATATAATTGCAAAAGTGTGCAAAGTTTCAGTTGAACACACTACATTAAAAACTACAGGCTGGCAAACTAAATTTAGCAAGGCATCATTTTGAAAGTGCTAGCTATGTAGCTAAGTTCTTTAATTCATTAAGCATGGGTAATGTAATTGCTAACAAAATTCCTCACATAACCGTAAGCCTAACTGGTAACAAAACAGTGAAAAAATGATTTTACATTGCTGTCTTACAAACCTTTAAATTCAATTTCAAGCCAGAATTCAATTTCAGATGATTTCATAGAGATTTACAATAATAACATTCAAATTCAAATTTCTAATGGCATGAGCCAAACTGTATCTTTTGTGTTAAAAGGTCTCTGTTAATGGAAATAACACACTGGTTGTGTTTAAAAATAGCACAAAATGTGTTGCCCTTAACTAGGCACACTGATATGTTAAACAATAACACAACATGTAGTTGTTTTAACATATCTGTTTTGAGAGTGTAGAGTTTGATGAATTCAATGATTTTCTGTTCGTATGCCTGTCTTTAAAGAGATTGCTAAACTGACAATCTGCACCTTCCCACTTCTGTCACAACAATACAAGCTGAACTGGTAAACACTAGGGATGCTCGATAATATGGGATGCTAATATAATGAAGGGCTATGGTTCTAAAATATGTGCAGTTTCTTCACTTTACTGCATTTCTATACTCAATGTCACATTTCTGTGTAATGCTAATCCAGGTAAATCTCGTCCCAAGTTCTACACTAAACATCTATATACTGGTATCTGTATCAGTTCTAGCAGGAACATCAGATGTTGATTCTAACTTGTGAAAAGTGGTCACTTGTTGTTTTATCTTTATGGGCATTTAGCTTGTTTGGCAGCCATCATGTAAACTATGCTAGGGAGAAGACAGCTTTTAGCATGTCCACCAGTGTGGCACCTGTAACATTTTAACAGGCAGAAAGTGCTTTTAAGCTTTGTGTGACTTCTTTGGGAGATTTGAAACAGCAGGTAGTATTTAGAACCCAATAAATGAAACAGCTTGTGATTCTTTCTATTTAGCCTAGGCATAAATTGCTTTGACTAAGTAGACTGCAAAGGCTGAAGAAACTCCATATTGGTTTCCTTCACTGATGCTGCAGTATTTCCTATTTAGAGTTGTGTATCATATTGTCATATTATTGTCCCTTAATGAGGAACAGCTACCCAAGCCAGTTACAAAGAATTGGGCCCACATCTCTCTTATCTTCTTATCATTGTCCTACAAGGCAGTGTCTGGAACTGATATATTACAAAATCCTTATGAGAGAATATCAGAAGCTTTAATTACTTGATTATGTAATTCTGAAAAGTGTCAGTATAGCCTTTAATACAATGTACACAACAACCCCTTACAGAGGCTACTTTTTAGTTTTTCAGGTAGAACAAATGTCAGAAGTTAAAATAGGCAACAGTTTCTCAGCACTGAAGTACTGAGAGTGCAGCATTAGCAGAGAAGCACATTCATGGGAACGGGATTGGGATCATGCAGGGCAAAGTACAACACTCATGTAACACAGACAACACAGATTTATTACCGTCACTGTAATAGTGGTTATCTTCTGTAGGCAGCCAGGAGGCAGGAGAAGGCAAGAGATAAGATTACTAGTTATGCACTGAACAAACCTGTGTGTCAGCATGCTTACTGTCTGTCCTCCCTCCTGCTGGAGGGAAAAGTGTTGCCAACATGCAAATAACATCTAAACAGTGACCTATTTTCTGTTTTCTGTTGTGCACTTTGCTGCATGTTTTATGTAAAAAAAAACAAAACAAAAAAAAGACAAAAAAACTTGCAGTGATGGTAGTGCTGGGCGGTACTGCTAAAATTTAATATCATGGTATTTTCCAAATGCATCATGGTACTGATGATATTTAGATTCTGGCCTAGAAGTAGCCTTTAATATGTTATTTGTCATGTTGTATATTCTGCAATATCGGTTCAACAGAATTCCGGATTTTTATTATTTTTTTTATCCCTTTCATGTTTTCATCCATCAGTGTTCTCACACTATAATACCTAGATGCATTATGCAATTACATCATACAACCATTGGAAATTACCCCCACAGTAATAAAGAAATCCTGACTGCTAGCGTGGCCACTAACATAGAGGCTAATGAATACAGATGTGACATTCAGCTTCCGAGCAGTAACGTTCCAGTTTAGGAACAGCAACATTTAAACAGCCTGCCCTCATGTATTTACTCTTAAGTGCTTGTCGTTTTTTAGAGGTTGCTCTGACCTTTAAGATACATCATCAGAAGGTGGGTTTTCCTAGTCTTTAACCCAGAAAATCTCACTCTAGAAACTATTGCAGCTCTGCTGTGGGAGGCAAATGGGCATATTTATAGTAGCGATGGTTACGTTATTCATTTTGGCCACAGTGTCTCTAAGTTGTTATTGAACCCAGTGCTTCCTGAGTGCTGGTCCCTGTTTTGATTGGATTGTTTTGTTCTGCATTTTAAAATGACACTACCAGCGTGGCAACTGGGGCACGGGTGTTTTATGTAATGGAATGTTATTGTGGATATATTGTTTATCTATCTTGTTCAAAAAAAATGAAAATCTATATTGTTGTATAGGTGATATCGCCCAGCACTAAATGACATTTTGTCAGGTAAATTACAAATAAACCATAACATTTAACAATTAATTCTTTTATCCAATTTTATCAAAGCTACAGAATCATTTGCATCTGCAGTTTATGTATCAGGAATAAATATGCTAGACTAACACAAAACAGAGAAAGAAATTAACATATCAACCCATCCTCTACATTATGGAAACAATAAGTAGATGTTCTGACCTGAAGTGCTTCCTGTATGTTTCCATTGTAGTCAATAATTTCAGTTGTGCCCTGGTCACCTTTCTCTCCCGGTGGACCCTGTGTTCATTTGTTCAGTAAACAAAGTAGTTATTTGGTCAGCACTGCTGATGTCAATGAAAAAATGGTGTGAGCTGACTTATTTACTGGATTTGTCAGTGGCTGTTTGCCCCATCCACCATTCTTATAGATTCAGTTTACTTTATGATTAACAATAGAAATATGCTGCACATTGGATACTCACTCTTGGCCCCATGAGGCCAGCATCCCCTTTGTCTCCAGTATCCCCCTGTAGCAACAGAACAAGGTGTTGCTAAACATTAAGTTAACACAGTATTTCTGAACATTTTTGGCCTCAGCGACCCAGTTTAACCCCTTAAATTGCAAGTTTATTATTCAGTTGTTAATCTTAAGAGTTATTATTTAGTAACTCTGAAACTATTAAGCAACTTTTGTAGTTAAATTAAAGAAACTTAAGTGGTGTAAGAGATTAAGCCATCACGTACACATATACAAATATAACCAGGGTTTCTGATCTGATATTTTCATATACATTTAAAAATAATAAATGTGTAATTGTTGTATTAAAGAAATAATAAGAAAAAGTCCTGTCACTAACCTTGGATCCTTTGAGGCCTGGTGTTCCAGGTTCCCCCTGTGCTCCCTGGTGGTAATTAGAGCATACAACCATCACTATTACACCAACATCTATGAAATGCTGTTTATGAAAACAGCTACGCAAATCCACCAATCTTTATTATCCACCAAACATTATTATTGTTTGAAAATAGTTAATCATACTGAATTACAGGAAAAAACCATTAAACCATTCCACGTATGTGGTACTGTGGTTGCTTCTCTGGTTTCATTTTTGTACATAATCACATGTAATGATTATTTAAACTGGAGTGCTTTTTGCACAGGTGGGAGGGTCTAGTTTTGCTTTGGGATGCCTTGTAAGAAAAGGACATTCTCATTTTACCATGTCAGACCACTTTATACAGACTGATGAAGAAACCACATGTAGAGCCTGTCTGCTATGTAAAAATGATTAATTCCACACTGCACACTGCTGTTTGAAAAGATCACCAGAGAAAAAAGACAGATCAAAGTCTTAATCTCATTCAAAGCCAGTAATTTCCATTGAAATGTCTGGCCAACTCATTTATTCCTACACCGAAATACAGTTAGGGCTTTTCATGGTCAATGTCAATACAGCAGCTGGAGTGTTTTTGGCTCTGGGCTCAAATGAATTTGACCTGTCTGTCATATTCGTCCTAGTGGGCATTATCACTAGGGAAAAACAAAAGCCCAGTTTCTGCCACTCGATGGTAACTTGCAAGTAAATTGTGAGATTGTAAATTTATTTGATGGTGATAATCAGTGTTCTTGAATGGCTCTTTTCACTGTTTTCATTGACCTCTGTGGCTTCAACCACACATTGCCAACAAAACTGACCTTCTGCCCAGCCGGTCCGATCTCTCCACGTTCACCTTTTCCTGCTGGCCCAGACTCACCACGCTCTCCCTGCGGAAAAAGATGGAGATGGAGTTTTTGTTCTGATAATGATGTGATTTACCTGAATCTATAGGTTCTGACTCATATACCACCGTTTAAAAGTTTGGAATTACTGTTTTCAACAACACAGATCCAATTTCGTTTTTATCTAATTTGTATAAAGCCAATTTTGTTTTAACCAGTTTAAAGGAATCTGTAATAAAAGTATCAAAACATCTAGTATCCCGAATGATAAATGGAGCTGTAGATTATCCTATAATAACTTAGAAAGAGGAATGACATTGAATGAAGTTATAATAAAATTAACGTTCAGAATGCCTCGTATTTCAAAAAGGCTTCCCCGAGGCAGATAACTTGACAAGTTATGCCTTATGTGTTGGTAACTATTAAAAGATAGTGTATTTTTAATATAGCTTGAAAGTGTCTGGCAGGCACTTTTGACACATACAGATTGATTTTTAGGCTTTGCTGAAGTTGTACTGAATTACACTGTTTCTATACTTTGACTTGTAGTTGCAGAGTTTTGAAAGTTTTTGAGGGAACCCTGACTGTTAAGACTTGTAAGCCTCAATATGGTGTTCATGTCCAGTACTGTTGAAATATGTTATATAGACTAAGCAAAATATTTTATTTATTATTAAAAATAGACAAAATTCCTCTACTTGTAAGTTGCCATTATTGTGCCATCAAATGGTTGCTCTCAAGCTTAAGATCTAATTTAACTCAAAATATCCTACCAGAGGAGAATATATAATCAAATAGAAAAATGTTCTGTCGTGTTTTCCAGCTGATTCCACGGCAATCCAGTGCAACAATGGCAACCTACTAGTTGATGGATTTTTCCTATTTGTCATTTTTTTTGTAATAAACAAAACCTTTCCATTTGGGTTATACAGTCAGGGTTCCCTTTAAACGCACTACAGCATTAGTTGTAGGTCTGCTTCTGATGTGCGTGGTGTTTTTGGAATGAGCAGTAGAGGGCAGTATGGAACCATGTGACTGTCTTACATTTTGACATTTGAACTCTAATCACTTTTGTGTGTGTACACAGCTTCTTTGCAGGCTTGCTCTTCTAAAGACCCCTACTGTTCCTCACACCTTCTTTTCTTAATAGGTTCTGTAGGCACATACAGAATCAATATCTGTGTATGGATTTGTCACAATCCAGTGATCAATCATGTTAGTTTTTTTATTTGGCACTAAATATAAAACAGCAACTAAAGACATGTAATATTGTGATTATTCTGGCTGTGGGGGGGACATTGGACCTGGAATTCTGTGGTTTCATTTAGACAGACTGGAATGTGCAGTGCCTGCCCACTGTGGCCACAAAGAAGCTGATCAGATTAAATGTATTTTTCAGTAAAAAAAAAAAACCTGCACTGTATCAGCGTTTATGTTGAGTCGCCTGCCTGAAAAGATGTGCATCTTTATTTACTCACCTTTGTTCCTGGCAGTCCTGGTAGGCCTGGCTCACCCTGAGGCCCGAGGAAACCAGGTTCACCCTGTAGTACGAGAATTGTTGTTGAGACAAGAGAAACACACTACGAAAAGGGTAAAGCCAATTTGCAGTAAACACAAAGTATAACTACAGATGTCAGTCCTTAAGTGGCCACTTGAAATCTAGCCTTGTTTTAAGTTGTTTCAGTAACTACTATAAATGATTCAGAATAGACTATGAATCTATATAGGTTATGTAGTTACAAGTGAGGAATTGCCACATATAGGTCTTCAGGATTCAAGGGGTTAATACAATGTTTTTGCAATTACAGAACATTCAATCCACCTTTTTTCTGTTGTTTTAACCTACATTAACGGCTTGTTTATCTTAGACTATGTCATATTTAAATTAAGTCTTTCCGCTGGTTAGGAGAAATGCTGACATAGGACCATAATGTCTCAACGAGGGTGATGTCGAATCAGTTTCAGTGGAGTGTAATACGGAAAATACATTCTGCAGTTTGTGCCTCTTGAGTGGATGTGTCATCAATATTTTGTTGGCAAGAATGCAGTTTTCAGTGTTTTTTCATGCCTGGAAAGCCATTTTGAGATGTAGAATGAACAGTATCTGTTGCTGTGCAATCTGTATTAAGAACGTGAAAAACAGGAATTACTAAAATCACTTTGCAATGCTTTGTAATTTTCCTATTTCTAAGGCAGTTAAAGGAGATTCCACCAGTTTTTCAAAATTCCTCTACTGAGTCAGAATAGTTCACAGTAGTGTTGATAAGAACTAAAATGATAAGTCCAAAGTCTTTAATGCCTTTTAAAGCTTCTTTGCAGAAAGTTACATGAAATGGTTATGGAAATGTTGCCTGATGCCTGAGACATAGTTTTTATGATAATTTTAAGATGTTTTGTGCCTTAATTGTACAAAAATGATGGTGGAGAGGAACATGCAAGAGGGCTAAACAGTAGCCAAAAATGTTAGTAACACTTCCTATGAATCCTGTGTTTAAAATGCAGTATTAATACATCTATAATGCATTATATGGCATACATAATACCTTAAAATGACTACTATAAGCCTGTATAGTTACTTATACATACTTATAGCTAAATGCATGACCACTATTGTTGATGACATTATGATTGTTATTATAAAGCAAGAATATTGCTGTTGTCGGAAGAAAACCTTCTATCCATTTTTGACGTTTTTCAGTTTTTGACATAATTTGAAAATGCATGTTGCCTATTAGATTGTGTGCAAATTTCATGATCAATGGACTAAAAGAAATGACCCAAAATGACTTGGAAAAAATTCTGGTTCCATACATACTTTTTTTCATCCGACAGCAGCGATATATATCTTTATAAAGGCAGGCTTTATTAGTGTACACACTAATGTTATAATGCACTGTAACACTGGTATATCTTTTGGTATGCATTATACCATTTTTATTCCTTTTTAATGTAAAGAAAATTTCACTGTAATACATAAATACCTTACGGTACATTATAAGTGCTTTTTATTGACTTTAAGTGAAATGAGAATCACATCTAACCGATGATTCACAAATAGAACATAGACTATAGTAGTTTGTGTATTTGTGTTCAATAATGTGTAATTCTAGCTTGGTTACTGTCACAGTTTCACCCTACATTGAAATTTCTTAAGATAGAGGCTTCTGTGGCTGGGTTTACAAAATTTCTTTTGTGAAAAACAGTGTGGTGATCATAACCATGAGCTGAAAGAAATCTGTAAGCTTGCCACTTATCAGTGACAACACTGATGTGCCTTAACACGTTGCATCACTACAGGAAGTAGGTGCTCCCTGAATCTGAGTTATAGTGCATTACAACATTAGTACAATATTTTTGTTAATGGGCATTATAATTTGTTATGACACCTGACTTTATAAAGCAAAAATATATGACTTTTGAGTTATGCACGTAGATGTACCTACTTCTGAGTAGTTATACAGGCTTATGGCAGTCTTTAGAAGGTATTATGTATGCCAAATACGTGTATTATAAAAGCAGGCTTCAAAGGAAGCTACCTTTTTTTTTTTTACCATTTTACCATCATCAACATTACATACAAAAACTATGTATAGATTCACTGCTCATTTTGGATTGTAAACAAAATAGCTATATTTGCATTGCAGACATTGCGACCCCTGATTTATCACCACCACTGTAAAGAAGTCTGAGCCTACAATGCACGATTTCACCTCAAACCACCCTGAATGACTTTGTCTCTGCAACTAAATTATGCACAAATTTAGAAAACTGCTATAATCAGGAATTTGGAATTTCACTGCTATAATCAGGTCTTTGTAACTCATTTCAGAGGACATCATTTCTCTGTACGGAATATGTGCTGTGTCTTAAATTTGATATAACAAAGGACAAATGTGTGATTATGTTACACTACAAGCCAAAATTTGAGAGATTTTGGGATGTGGACACCTCTCTGGTGGAAATGTGTAATTGCATGCAACATGCAGAAGAACATTTTGTAACGTCAGTTGTGCTTTGGACCCCCATGAGCGGATGAATCTGATGATTGTGAGCGTGTTAAAAGAATATTCAAAGAGAACTCGATCTAAAATTGGTAACAGACATGTCCTCAGAGGGCGTAAGTGAATTATCTATTATTATCTTCTGTTGTCAGCATCTTCAGTGTAATGTTGAGTTTGCAGTTGAGACCTGAACATTTGAGTTGGACCTTCTTTTTAAGCCTTTGTGTTTCACGTTAATGTGCAAAGACATACGTGGTCTGCAAAACCTCTAAATTACTATTTCCTTAACAGGGTGACTGGCAGCAACCAGTTTTTTTCTACTAATACTTTCATTTTTAACAAAAACAAATTATACATTGCAGCTTTAAAAAGTTAGAGCATACTAATGAGCTTAGCAGTTTGTCAGTGACCTGGAAGACCAGAGTTTTTTTTTCCCTTGATGCTGAAAAATGGCCATACTTACTCAGTAAATGAGGGAGATCTCTGACTTTTGCACAGTCCTGTAAATATGTCACAAACTACCATAAAGAGCTGGATACGCCACAACCTCAAATAGTGTACCACAAGATACCAACCACTGCTATGTCTCAACAAGGCATTAATAAGCCTCAGAAAGACCAGGTTACAGTCTGCTAAAAAGTACTATAGCCTATAGAGTTCTGTGATAAAATCCTATTGACAGATGAGAAGAAAATTTGCTTATACTTGAGTGACTGAAGGATGCAAGAGTGGAGGACAAGAACCAAATGCTCATGATGCAAAGCATACCACCTCATCTGTGAAACATGGTGACGTGCGCATGTATGGCTGCCAGTGGAACTGACTCACTTGTATTTATTAATGATGTAACTGCTGACAGAAGCAGCAAGGTGAATTGTGAAGTGTACAGAAGCACTATAGCTGCTCCAAACGCCTTAAGGGTGCCACCCACGGGTAGTGCCACTGAAGACAATGACCCAGAGTGCACTACTAAAGCAGCTGTGGGGTTTTTCAGGGACAAAAAGTAGAATGTTTTTGACTGACCACATCAGTCACTAAGTGGGCACTACTCTAACGGAAGACTGTAGATCGAAGACAAAAAGACACCAAAGCAAGAACTGAAAATAACAGCTGCAATAAGAGGGAGGATGGACTATCACCAGGAAGGAAATCTAGTGTTTGTTGATGGGTTGCAGATCTCAGACAGTTGTCAACTACAATGGATTTTCAACCAAGTACTAACACAGGACAATTATGTTAATTGATTCAATTATTTATGGGTTTATTTCAGACCACCATAAAAAGTATAAAATAAGGTAAATACATTAGATGTAAACACTCTTGATAAACTCTGGACCTTTGTTACCTTTCTCGTTCATGATCTCACCATGTAATGACACATAGCCAACTAAGAAATTACTGTCCAGTTACTTTTTGAAATTAATTCTTAAAAGAAGAGGACTATGGATAAAACAAGTGTTCTTCGAAGAACCATCCGCTAAAAGGTTCTTTAGAGCCCCAAAAGCATTGCTCCAAAGAACGTTTTTGTCACCTCAAGTGTGTAGCCTCCTAAACTCAAGTGCTTTTAAATCTTTTATGCAACAAATAACTCATAGCAATAATTGCTCATAACAGGCACTCTGTATTACTTAGTTCTCTGTTGAGCTCTCTTGGAAACAACCAATACTTTGTCCACATGTGGTGTTTAACATTATACAAGGAATTTGCCCCAGAATCTTCAGTTTCTCAAGAACATGTGAGCATCACATTAGCAAAATAGCGTTAGCGTCCAAAAGCAGTCGGCCTCTGAGTAAAAGGGTTATATAAAATGCAGGGATTTTTACAAGACCAACAGGTTGCAAGCTTACAAAAAAATGGTGCAGCCAAACAAATCAAAATAGCAACAAGCATTATCTCATGCCTGTACGAGCATTCCTTGCATTCACGCGTTAAGGCTTTCAGGCAAAGCACCCTAAGCATGTAATACAGCACCGCTGTATTAAAGGATGGAATGAGAAATGCACAATGTCTTTTTTTACTCGACATTACAAAACCTCCCATTTCAGTATAAGACAAAGGCATATCTGGTGATTACTTGTCCCTGGTTACTGGCTAGAAAATGGGAGGTTTATCAAGAACATTTCTAGGCCAATATTAGTCTTATGCAATGAGAATCCGTCACATGTAATTTGTTTTTCCGCACAACAAACACACATCTATGTGCTTATTTTAAGATTTGGGGACTTTTCAGCCATGCAAACATTACATCCATTGGCACATCATCGCCCCCTACTTTGAGCTTCATCTTAACAAAGTATTTGGTTTAGACATTTCACACTCAGTTTGTTCCGCCTTGGATAAGTCTACATTCCCACCCACATTTAGCCCGAAGGTTTTTCATTATGAGATCAAGTCTGGTGTTATGAGACTACACTAATATCCGTACTTTAGAAGTCTAGCTGTTCAATAATCAACAGGTCAACGTCTAAATAATGTCTGGGTAGCTAATTATGAATATTAGCAAGGTCAATCTATAAAGCTAATGTTATCCAGGTCAAAAGAAGTGTAATCAATGCATAGACACACTGCCACAAAAACTGCAATGGAACTAGAATTAGTCACTTCACTAGTGCTGGGCTGGGCACTGTGTAGCTGGGCAATGGGAAGTGACATATCCATGCTCCACCAACAAATGCAATCTTTCATAGCAACTGTTAGACAAGCTTTAATGAATGCTGGTAAAATGGGTTTCCAGCTTAACATGTTTACGTTACTAAGATGGACTATATTATTTTAAGTAACTGAATCTAGGCAGGTTAGAAAAAAGAATGAATTTATTATGCTAATGTTAGCTCACATGACAACAAAACTACACTCTTAAGATGATTTTCTAAGGGTTCTTTAGTAAAGACAACCATAAAGATTTGGTTGAAGAACCAGTTTCATGCCTAAAGGGTTCTTTGCATGGTGAAATGGTTCTTCAGATCAATGGAGAATGTATTGTATATGAACCTTTTTGAAAAGGGTTCTATATAGCACCAAAAAGGGTTCTTTTATTGTTTATGATGTCAAGCTTGTAACAATAGAAAAACACTTTTTGTGCCTTATCAAAAAAGTTCTTTACAGAACCATACACAGCACATTCTCCATCAATCTGAACAACAATTTCACTATGCAAAGAACCCTTTAAGCAGGCAAATGGTTCTGTCTTTGCTAAAGAACACTTGAAGAACCATTTTTTTTAAGACACGTTATACAAAATAAATATCATTTGAAATAATATCACTCTAAATTTTCAAATTTAGACAGAAGTGTGTTGTGTGATACAGGTCCCTGTTAGGTTGAATGAGATTTTTGCTAACATTCTGTAAAGTTTGTCCAACCCCACAACAGTTGCTATGAAACAAGGCATATGTGGGCAGAGCGTGGATGGATCAGTTGGTGCACAGTTAAATCACTAGGTTTCACTCTGATAAAATCAAATTAGATTTATATGATTCATTTTTAATCTATGTGTAGTTCATCACTAGTGATTTTACTGTGACCGATTGGGAAGCTTTATGGATGAAGACACAACAACATTTACCTTTATTCCGGGAAGTCCAGGCAGCCCTGGAAGTCCTGGCTCTCCCTACACAGGAAAAGTGCAACAAATTACAGCCAAACCAAGCCAAGCCTCCATTCCTGGCCTTGAGCCTGGAAAACCAGCTCAACCACTAAAGGTTTCCTCACTGTCCACTACATCAGTAGATCGGTCCTCAGTCTATGACCAACATGACAATCATCACTATTCTGTTGTGAGAGCTAAGTAGCACTAGGCGTCTGCTGTTTCACTTGGGTGCTTTCCAAGGAAAGATTGCTCATTTTGTGGAACTGCAGTCGGTCATTGTGTCAACCAGCATGTTCATACTAAAGTATGTTTAGCATGCATGTCAAGTTATCAAGAAGAAAGGCTTAATAAGGGGATGTTAGACCATGTTTCTGAACTCATTCTTAGTTCTGAAGTAACTATTATGGTATGACTTATTAGGTTACAGATATATGATTATTGCACTGGAAAATGCTCAGTAAATCATGAGGAAAGTGAGGAAGGAAAGCTGAATACTCAAAAGCATTAAAATTTCACATCAAAGAAACTTTTATTGTTAGTTAGGCATTCATGCTCTATTAAAATTAATGTACATATGGAACGTGAGTAGGACCATTTTTCAAAATGAGCATGTTAAATAGATCTCTGACCACAGTTGCATCTCCTTAAATGATTGAAAATATGATGAACTGTTCTCCCCAAAAAGCTACTCTCCCAAGCGTCGCTGAATCTCACTCGCATGAATTATTCAGTGAAGATTAACAGTCGTTTATTGGGCAGTTGGAACAAGTTATAAGGTGCAGTGTGAAAAGGCATAAAATAAACAGACAGGATGGTTGTGGTGTAAAATGCAGTCTTCATTTTGGATTTGGTGGTTTTTCACTGTGGTGGTACAGCCTACAAAGTTCTCCACTTTGTGCTTGGATTCACTGCAGTAAGATGTGAACAGCATCCTAACATTAACCTTCAATACCATCCTCATATGATAATGCTTTGTGTGTGCTAATGTCAGAGCTCTGTCCAGCTCCAGGACAGCAAGTTAAAGCATTTAGCAAAAATCATTCTAAATGACTCTGTGTTCTATGGTTAAACCCCAGTAAATACCCTAATATTTTGTCACATACACTGGGGTCCAAAAGCCTGAGACCACCAGTGAAAATGCTTCTATGTTGCATTCATGCCTAATGCAACACAACATTTTCATTTCAAATTATATTATCAGAATAGGAATTTGAGTGAAACGTAGAATTTTTGAAATTTTAACATTAATTTCAGACTTTCTTTTTATTTGGTATAGTTATGCAAAAGTTTGGGCGTCCCTGGTCAAATTACATGTTTTGTAGATTTTCTAAGAGAAAATAATTTAATACATCTCTTACAGAGAACATTTCTGCATATTTTAATGAAAATTTGGCAAATTACTGTTTATGTGCTGAATTTAGGCATAGTGGGTATCACTGTCTGGGTATCACTGTCTGCGTAGGTTTCCTCTGGGTGCTCCGGTTGCTAAATTGTCCCTACGTGTGTGTGTGTGTGTGAATGTATATGTCTGTGTGTCTGCCCTGCGATGGACTGGTGACCTGTCCAGGGTGCATCCTGCCTTCTGCCCAATGACCACTAGGATAGGCTCCAGCACCCCCCGTGACCCAGAAGAATAAGCCATCCATCCATCCATCATCTAAACCGCTTATCCTTCTGGGTCGCGGTGGGGTGCTGGAGCCTATCCCAGCTGTCATCGGGCAGAAGGCAGGATACACCCATGACAGGTTGCCAGTTTAGAAAAAGCGTGTTTGTGTGCTGAATTTAACATATTAAAAAAAATTACAGCAAATTCTGTTTTTTACCCCGATGACTCTGTAAATAAAGTGAAATGGTGCACTAAAATGTTCAGAAAAATGCCATATTTAAGTGTATTCTCTGTAGAAGATGTGTTAACTTAGAAAATCAACAAAATATGTAATTTGACCCCCATGTCCCCCATGGCCTTAACATGGTGGATGTCACATATTTGCTTAAGGCTGAAAATACATCTAGAAACAGGGCAGAGCCTTGAATGTTTCTTCTTTTACTTGGCATAACTTTTCTTTGTTTTAAATTTTTCAAATCTCTTCACCATTCTGTTGTTTATATCTGAGTGTAAATGGAAAAACAATCCTAGATTATTAGTGTGGTCTTCAATTTTTTGACCCCACTGTATATTAGTTAGGTTCAGGCATAGTGTCGGTTTATCTAGTTCAATGAACTTAAAAGGAATGTATTTAAGCCACACTGAGATACAAGTTATGGCTGTGGTTTTACCTTTTGCCCACTTCGCCCTGGCTCGCCTGGTTCACCCTGCATTGATTAAAACCATGAAACAACAACAATAATAAAGGTTGTGCTAAATTAATGAATACATGAATAAAAGCAATTCTAAGCATTATTCTAAAAGTTCTTAAATTCAAAGACTATAATGAATTAGGCATTTTTACCTTAATCCCAGCAGCAGAAGACCCTGCATCACCCTGTAGGATAAAAATGAAAACAATATTATAAATTTACATTTACAGAGTGGAACTCTAATCATGAGAGGTCTTGTGGAAAACACTGTCTTTAGGACTGTTTCAAACTTTTATTCCCCCTTGCTTTTCATGGGACTTTTGCATAATTGAGTATGAGGGAAGGACTACACCTCAAAATCTTGCTGCAAAATCCCAGGCCTGATGCGGAGGAATAAGAAGAATATGCCCTTATTTAAATGTAATAAATCTACTTTTGGCATGAACAGATTTTAAACTGAAAAGAACTGTAAGGCGGCAAGATTTATTGCATAAACACATCTGGATTTGTATCCACTCAAACAAAAATGTGTTTAAAGTAACATATTGTATAAAACTGTAAGTATCTGGTGTGCTAAAGCACTGGCACACTGCAAAGCATCTGTGTCCGGTTAAGCGTATGCATTTTAAGACCAAGCAGATCACTGACATCCAGAGCAATGTGTATTTCGATTGCCGAGTTCAATCAGCGTAAGCGAGCTGGCGCAGCTGAAGCACAGGTGCGAAAGGAAATCTGTCAAAGTCCCGCACACAGTAGCTATTCAGTCCAAATGAGATATTGTCAGAGAAAGCATTGCAAACATCAAAGCACGGATAAACATTATTCTTCATTAAGAGGCTTAGTGTAATATCCAGTGAGACCACATTATTTAAAATACAAAAAGCTCACAAAGGAAAGAAAAATATTTAATATTGTCTAATGGTAGCAGAAATAGACTATTACATGGAGATAAGTAGAGGTGTGTCTCAAGAATGTGCAGGTGGTCAAGAGGACAGAAAAGAGAGCATTTAAAAATTGGATAACCTTCACTACTCTGTTAATTGTTGGCAGGATTTCATAGGTTGAACACTTATTTCTCACATTAAAATACTATATTCATAAATTGTGAAATCAACCCATTTTAAGACATATTCTGTAATATCACAGCAAATTACTGTGAGGTTGACGCTAAGTTGAACTGCACCACATTATGGTTATGACCATAACTACGAGTATGTAAATGTGCAGTAAATTACTGGCTACTGAGTTGCATTACTTTTACAGTTGTTATGTAAACATACAGGAGATTACTGTATTTTAGTTACAGCTTATTATTGCGTATGGCAGAATACAACTACACCACAATAATCCTGTGGTTTAGTAAAGTAATGCAACTAGTAGCCAGTAATTTACTGTAATTTTACACTATTTTTTGCAGTGTAAATAACACATTTGTATCCTTGCTGTTGTATCAGAATCTTTTTGTTGCTGTTCTCATTTATGCCATTTGAAAACACCAGGTATGATTTACATTATGTAACTGTTTCTTTACGAATAGGCATAAATGATCCAAAATGACTTGGAATAAAATCCTATTACACTTACATGCATCAGTTGTAAGTAAAGAAAGCTTTTCCCTTCTTCTATAAAGTTACCATTTCAGAAATATGACGTTTTGTTATGACAGTGACAATATCAAAAAATTAAAGTCATGAGAGTACTGACTAATCAAATAACTTACCCTGTCTTAAGCTCATCACTAGCATTGCCCAGTGAAATTAGATTAACAAGCTAAAAATCTAGCTAATTTATTTGACAGTTGTTGTCTGATTGCATTTGCTCTTGGTTTGGTTTGTTTTGATTTTATCTTGCTCTTTTGTCTCACAGATCATTTTAGGATCTTTCATGGTTCATATCCAGCTATCTGAGGCAATATTGGATATTAGAATGCAGTGTTATATTTCTCTTGTTGCTCATGTAATATTTGCATATGCCAGAAAGGAAAAGAGTGAAATGAAACCCATTACTTAGTGTACTTTTAATGGGACCGAGTTTTCCCAAAAGCGCTGTTGTGCGAAACGATTATATGCTTGTAGTAGTTATAGCCCCTCCAAGTTAAACCGAGTCATTATGTTAAGACACATTTTTTGTAGAATTGAGCCCTAGAGGTTTGTAAAACACTGTATCTTCTCTTTGATTCTGTCTCTCCTCATGAAGGTGGAGTAATCAGTTGTTTGCTTCTAGAATCCCAACTGTCATTAATAATGTAAGCTGAATTTTAGTGTGTAAATATTTAAGGCTGCTCAGTTGACTCATATGATCAATGCAGCCTTTAAAGATTCAAAAGTTATTTTTAAATTCAAGCAGAAAATGACAATGTACTTTGTTTGTTGTGCTTAGCTCTGAGTTTCCAAAACTGAAGTTCAAAAAATACAATAAATAGACAATGGGACACCTTCAATACTTGGCAGACCATCAAAACTCTCACCATCACAGAAACAGTACTTAACGCTTTAAGAGAGAGGAGAAAATCAAGCTCCACTCTTGCTTCAGATAAAAAAAAATGCACAGGTGTTTCTGTCCATCCTTCCACTTGAGAAGACGGCTCAACGCTATGAGTCTGAAAGAATGTGTAGCTGTGAAGAAGCCAATACTGAAGATTGGAAATGGAGCAAAAGCAAAAAAGAAAAAAAATCACAAATCAAACAAAGAAGCTGCTGGTGCTCTCAAAACAAGGGACTGACCACCCCAGAGTCCAGACCTCAGCATCACTGAATATGTTTGGGATTACTTGGATTGTGAGAAGCAGAAAATGCATCCAAGCTCTAAGACTGGACTTTGGAGGTGTGGAAAATATCCCTGCAGATTTCTTTGAAAAACTGATTGTAAAGGGTGGATACACTGAATAATTAACCATTTGATATTATATTTATTAGTTAAGGATGTTAAATATGTTTTCTGCCTTTTTCCTGACACTGAAAAAAAAAATTGTTCTTTTTGTAGTTTTGACTGGAAATGAAATTAAATGAAGGGTGGTCTCTGACTTTTGCACAGCACTTTACCTCAAAGAAGCCTGCTGGCATTCTTTTACTTGACAATTGTTACTACAACTTCTGTTATGCTTTCTGTAATGCTATCATTGATTTAATAATGGACTGACCTCAAGCGCAGAAGTTTCTTTGTTCAGGGGAAAAAAATAATTACGTATGTACGTTTCCATTACGTGGGTCAGCCCATAACAGGCATGGATTCAGAGGAAAGGAGAGAAAACAGTTTAGTAGAGAATGCCAAATAACAAGCACAAGCATTTGCCTTAAAAGGAACCCATGTAAATCAAATTAAGAAACAAAAATCACAGAAATGTTGATCTTTATGATTGCTCCTTCGGTAAAATCAGTCTACTAAAAGGCTCCAGATAAGCTGAGCTTTCTGACAATATGCCATATGTCGTGTTGTGTGTTGAATATCGATCTGAAAACCCAGGCCTGATCTATGCTACATCTGCACGCAGTCATCTGTATTGTCCGCCTTTTCAATTACAAGGTATACAGATCAGCGTTTAACAGCCATTTTTTTTCAATGTTTTCTTTTTGTTGTTTTTGTATACAGCCAGTCAGCAAATGTTAACGCAAAGTTAGTTTATATTTGATGTGAACTAAAACAAAAATATATATTATTTGTGGTGTTTATACGTTTCCAGTTACAAAGTCTCAGAACTTAATTTGTTAGGCCTTAATTGTCTTATTAGGACTGGTTAGGCAGGTCAAGAATTGTCATTAGGAATCATCAGCTGATGACAGTTCCAGAGCATAATAAATTTTTGACTCCTCAGATAACAACCGTGGCCTCCTCTAAGCAGCTCGCTGAGGATCTGAAAAAGAAGTGAACTGATGACTACAAAGCAGGGAAGGTTATAAAAAGATACCAAAGGGTTTCCAGCTCATAATTTCCACTGTCCAAAATGTCATTAAGAAATGGCTGTTAAGGGCAACCGTGGAAGTCAAAGCAAGATCTGGAAAACCAAAAAACTCTCCGACAGAACCACTTGTATGCTGGCCGGAAAGGCAAAGCAAAACCCCCATATGACAGCAAAGGACCTGCAGGAAAGACTAGCCAACACAGGGGTGGTGGTGCATCACTCTACTGTACAAAACTGCTTGAACAAACATGATCTGCGTGGAAGAGTCATCATAAGGAAACCTCACTTTTGACCTCATCACAAAAGTAAATGTCTGAAATATGCAAAACAACATCTAGACAAGCCAGGGGCATTTTGGAAACAAGTGCTGTGGACTGATAAAAGTAAACATGGAACTCTTCTAGTAACTTTGTTGTTAAAGTTGTTAAAGTGGTCAATTGCTCGGATTGTTTATTAAAATTGTTTTCTCCTGTGTACTAAAAATAATTTCTAGTTTCAAGGTTTTTTTTAAACATTGGCCTACGTTTTTTGTCTTAAATATTGAAAATTTGTTTAAGAATTCAAAGTTTTGTTAATAACTGGTACTACTGAAAAGCTGAGTTTGTCCTGAATCTAAACATACAAATTAGTTACAGGCAAAAATATGAGATGTCCAGCCAGCCACTTAGGCTTAGATTCTAATGGTCTTTTCTGAAACTGCACAGAACTTCTCTATATGCTTGCAAAAGGAATAGCCATAACCTGTTGCTGCTTAGACGTATGACAGGCTCCTGGCCTATAAACACATATGCTTTGCCTCTGCAGCAGTCCTGTGTTAAACACCCCGGGAGGGAAGCGGCAGGCATTTTTAGTGGGGTGTATCATTTCTTTAGTGGAACAACAGAAATAAAACGTGTGGCCAATAAGGATAATTGGAAGAGGGTTTAGGGCTGCTTGGGGATGTGATGTGCAAAGGGGAACGAAGCACAGGGCAGTAGATGATTAGTCCTGGTGGGAAAGTGTAGGAGAGAGAAAGAGCGGTAAAGCTGGGCTCTGTGCCTGCTGCTGAATTTGCGGTTCTACTTCACATACGCTCTGCACTCAGAAGTTGCTGAGGAATGCCTGCCCTGGCTTTTATGGGAGTCATTTATGGAAGCACACAAGGCATACTTAATTGCCGCATTTTTTAGTTAGCCATAAACTGCATTAGTAGTTACAGCTGGATATCAGTAAGCAACTCGTCCTGTTCACCCCACCACCTTCATGCCTTGCCATTTCAACTTTATATAGATATCCTAATGTACAGTC